TTGGTAAGCGTACCGAAGAACTCACCTCATTGTGTCCGACTCCTCCTCGCCCTCCCCCTCATGCTCAACTCCTTGATTCCGGGAACGAAGGTGAATGTGGGATTATTATTGAGGATGGTGAGCCCACATCAATAGCGGGGAGGCAGTGGAGCAGCGATGTGGTTTGGGGGATTGCAGCGGGCTTGACAAACAGCGACACTTGGGGTGGCTGGACTCAAGGGCACGCGTACTAGTTAATCCGCACAAAGTAATGTATCACCTAGGCCTTAGACACATGCTAGAGACAAGTGAGAGGCACGTCGACGTCATGGGTGTAAGGACATGCACGTCCGATCCGGTTATCGTAAGGACTTGGATTGAGCGCCTGAAATAATCCGCCCAATCTGAACCGAGATCTCCCGACCTCAACCACTCTTCTACGACTTTCGCCGACCTAGAACAGCAGAGCCCATGTAGGTTCTCACTGGGGGTCACTCTCGAGTGCTTTCGCCTTCGCTTCAGATCGAACCAGGGCGGTGATCTCGAAAGTGTCCGCCTCCGGGTGCGCAAGGATGGCTTGCAGGGCACTGCCGCCAATGTATCCTGCGAGAGACGGTAGTAATGGCCAGCATATTCGGAGATATTATCGCCCTCGGAAGTTCGAAGAACACTGCTCGTACCCGTAGCCTCAATGTAAAAGATAGCGATCTCAGAAGACATCTCGCTTCAACGCGGCGGTTATGAGCTATCAGTTGGGTGCGATTGGGATGGGCAGTGGGATGGGCGGCGGCCCTCCAGACTCCGATCCCACGCAGCTCTTTATAGCTGGAGGTGACAAAGACATCCATCTGCGTTGACTAGTGTGCACAATCGTGCGGCTGGTCGCTAACCGAGACGGGGCTTGGGTCAGTAAGAGGAAGGTAGGAGGCGACGGTAGGAGTCGAATGGGGCCAACTTCCGACCGGATGTCTGCGACACCTCGAAGAATCAGCGACTGCATCCGAGTCTCCATAAGCGAGGAGGTTAGGTGATAGTAAGTACTGTGCGCACGTTCCTTGCATGGATTGAGGACATCCTTTTGTCGTGTTCCATCGACCATCGACATGCCTGGCGGAAACTTATCAAAACTACGGTATATTGAGTTGCTCCAAGCCCAGGCAGATCGAGCGGGATGTATGGTCATCGACCGGTCCTCGGGACTGTCGCTCATCCCGAACCACCCCCTGCCTTTGCAGCCCAGATCGGAGAACACAGGAATGTAGAGTACTTACTTGATAACGTATCTATAGAGCGGAATCGCTCATTCTATCATTACTGATATCAAGCTTGCTAAAGTTGGTGTCCACATACAGCCCAGCCGAAGACGTACGTGCACACTGCCGTGCCGAGGACGCAAGTACCTGAACGCGACTCGGAGGTCCCATGCTCGCTTCGACTTGAGTTCTTCGTACGAAGCTGTTGAAGCTGTTGGGGCTTGCTAGAGCTCTTGAACTACACAGTGTAAGCAAATGAGCACAATGACGGAGAGCGATACCATACCTTGACAATTCAGAAGCCAGAGAGTTCCATGACTCGAGACGCGTAGTCGTCCCACAAGCTTTGAGTCCAACCCCAGTGGCTGAACTCTAAGTATGTTGTGCCGACTCTGTTTCCGATTTGGGCGTGTTGTGCACAATAATTACTAGGTCAACGAGTCTATCAAGCTCTCCCAACGTCTTTATCTACTTGTTGCACTAGTTTTCCGGGCATAACGAACCTAGCAGTGCACCCGCCGCTTGCCTCTGCTCGCTGCAGGCGCTTGAGCTGAGCTTGAATCCAGGTAGGCAGGCGCGCGGTAGGCGCGCGGTGAACCCAGCTCGGAGCGACCAGAATCGAACATCCCTACACAAGCCACATGCTCGACCGAGAGGCCACGGCCATTACATGTTCAAGAAATTGCAGTCCATCCTCGTTATTCTGCTTGCCGCTGGTTGACTGTGAATGGCTGCCGCAAACTCCAGTGGCTCTTTATCAAACGGCGAGCATCGTCTCAGGATCTGGACAACCTAATCGGCGCGGGCGTGAGTGGCTCTGGTGCTCTTGCTTTGAACATGAGCTGATCAATATTCGTGCTTGTGACCCATCGTCGCGTCTTGGTTGCGCGCAGATGCAATTCGGGCCTGGGGCACACGCCCGTACTGCTGGCCATAGCCTGCGCCGAGGTCGGTCAAAAGTAAGGTTGCAAGCACAGCTGCCCCGTTCATCTTCTCCTGGCGTCTCGTCATGCGCACCTACAGGACCAAATTGAATGCAGAAGTGGCCCCAGGCAGGCCTGTCACCTCGCACGTTCAAACCAGGCCAAGGAAGGGTTGAGGGCACTTGTCGTAGATTCGCTCGACTACGACCGACAATATAACAATAACAGCACGGGCACGGGGCAAGCAAGCAATCCTTCTCCGCCTCCTTCCCCAGATTGATCGAACAGCCACCACTGAATACCCCGGTGTGAGGCTTAATGGAGGCGATGATGCGGAGCGCGGTGGGGTCCCGCCGATCAGGCGGTGACGGGGACGCAGCCGATGTTGACGAGGCCGCCTGCGAGTGCAAAACGTGAGTAATTCCGCTTGGCCTATAGCAGCGCGAGAACGGAGAGGCATCACGCACCGGTAGAGTTGTTCTCGCAGCACACGGGGTGCGCGGAGCTGCAGAGGTCACGACGGTCAGCACCACAGCGCACCGCAGTGACCGCACTGCGCCAGGGATCCCCTCCTCTGGGGAGACTCGAGGATTGAATGGGAACACAAACTCACCAGGTGCCCGCGAGGGTGGCGCCGATGACGGTGATGGGGTCGCAGTCGACGCCGATGACGGTAGTGAGGTCCTTGATGGCCTCCTGGACGAGCGGGGTGAGGTATTTGGTGAACGACGAGTCGTCCGAGCGGCCGACGGTGTTGCAGCAATGGATCTCGCCGGTGTTGCACTTGCCACCGGAGTCGCCGTCCTTGGGGGCCGGGAGGGCAGTGGCGACCGCAAGGAGTGCGGACAGGGCGGCGGTGATGGCGAGCTTGGAGAACATCTCGAGGGTTGTTGGTGTGGTGGGTAGGAGAAAGAAAGAGTGAGTGGGTTGCAAGTTGCTTGAGAGGCTAAGGAGTGTGGATAGCTGAAGTGGACTTCGCTGAGGGAGGTTAGCGGGTGTGCTTCAGCTTATATACTCCAGCGTGCGCTGAAAGCGCTGACATATGGCTTACTGCGCGCAGGATCCAGCTTCGCGAGGAGGCCAGAGGACGGCCGACGTCTCTGCAGCAGCGCGGAAGCATTGTTCAGCACTAGGAACTCGCCACCGTGGTCGTTACGACATGCACGCATGCATCGACAAGGTGCGCGCTCATCAGCGCACCATTGGGGCGCTCCAAGCACTTCAAGCAGGCAGGGCAGCGGCGGGCGGGCGCACCAAACGCACGAGCCTTGGCATCCATGCTCGGCCGCGCTGACAAGAAGACTCAGTGCTATGGCGCAGATCTCGGTGCAATGCTTCGCGGCGCGGACAGGCCACCAGTGGCCGTATTATGTGGACCGCGTATGGATATGTGCTGAGCTCGGTCGCGACGGTGGCGTACAAGTCGGCCAGTAAGGCCGGGACTTGCTATATCAGATCCGATGCCTGCCCGTGGGGCATTGTGAGAATGAATGATTTCACTAGGAATGCTGGATCAACCGAGTTGGTTGAACCGGCATGCCAGCAGGAAACAATCATCTCTCATAGAGGCGTGATTCACCAAGATAGATTCTAGCACAATGCTGCATGAATGCACGATGCCCAAGGACAATTACCGGGTGTGCTGAAGACGATGTCAAGCAACACATGCGTTTTTTTTCGCTCCTGAGGGATACATAGAACCTATAGGTTCTTCGCAAGTGCGATATTTCTATGTGAACGTTTAAGTTGACAACATGCGAATGACCTACATAGTAGCTATTTATTCGCATTGCGACTATCTTAAGCGCTTCTACTAGCGCTTGTAAGCGATTATAAACCTTCAGAGGCAATGCGGAGTCCTGGGCCTCGAGCCTTCTTGTTTCCCCTCATGAATAGAATCCTGAACTTCATAGCGCAAGGCGACAAAGGAGGTGGAACGATCACGCTGCTACTCCGGGACCTGCAGTGCTACATTGGCTGATATCATGTAAATAGGCACCTATGCGAATAACTGCCATCAACTCTGCGAATAACTCCCACCTCTAGTCCTAGTCAGTTGATAACGTCGCGAAGATCTCGTCTGGAGTTCTTTGCCCTACACTCATTCTCACGTGTAACACAGCGGGTCTAATAGACGGGGCCGAGGACCTGATGGCTTGCCATCGTCGCCGCAGACAACGCCGACGAAAGCCGACCTCCCCCCGTCACAAACTATGATCCCTCAGTCGCCTCTAGGCACTTTCGTTCTCTGCGGTCAGTCGTTACGACAGCATCTGGCTAAGTCATGTCGCCAGCAGATACGAGCTGCGTCTTCCGCCGTCTCGCCGGTCGAGCTGCGCTATGACAAGATCGTTCCACCAGACGGGAACGAGACAGACCGACCGCTAGTCATCCTCCACGGGCTCTTGTACGTGTATTCCAGCATTGAATCAGAGAGAGAGAGACTAAGCGAGCGCTTCCCCAGTGGGACCAGACGGAACTTCGGGTCGCTCACGAAGGCGTTCGCGAAGGACCTCGGTCGGCCAGTGTATACGTTGGTGCGTTCTCGTCCAGGTCGCGCGCCCCAGTTGTCCTTTGACGCTTCATGCAGGATCTGCGCAATCATGGCATGTCCCCACATGCCGAACCCCACACGTACCCAGCCATGGCCGCGGACGTCCTCCATTTCTTCCAGACGCATAAGCTATCGAACATCTCCCTCCTCGGCCATTCAATGTAAGCCTCCTGGACGCCAAGCCCGTACACTGTGAACCCCTGTCCATCTCACGCGTCCCCCACGTGTTGAAAAACAGGGGAGGAAAAGTGGCCATGACAGTCGCCCTCGACCCGGACCTGCCCCGCGAACTGCTCGCGCACCTGATCATCGAGGATATCGCCCCAGCGCGACGCGCGCTCTCTTCGAAGTTTCAAGGGTACATCGAGGCGATGAAGAAGATAGAAGCGAACGCGGTCAGGACGCGTCAGGAGGCCGACCGCGTGCTCAAGCCGTACGAACAGGTGCGCTCTCACACCCGCATGCGTCCAGGGGGCGGACATGAAGTCTAGACCTTGAATTTCTGCATTCTAACGAGGCGTGCTAGGACCCTATGATACGGGCGTTCCTTCTCATGAACCTCGAATATTCGACCGCCCACCAACAACGCTCACTCAAGTTCGGGGTGCCCGTTGGGCTGCTCGGCGACTCGATACCGGAGATCGGGGACTTCCCTTGGTCGCCTGGCGAGCGGACGTTCGACGGTCCGACATTGTTCATCAAAGGAAAGAAGAGCAAGTGCGTGACCCGCGATGAACGTCTAGAAAGGGGACTAACCTTCGCCGTTGTAGATATATCAATAGAAACAACATTGACACCGTCAAGTCATTCTTCCCGAGCATGATCTTCGAGGAGTTGGACACTGGACATATGGGTGAGTCCGCGAGTCCAGTGTGGACGGCTGGTCTGGCAGCTGATTTCCATCTGATGCGTATGCAGTACATCCGGAGCGGTGTGTGCTGATTCCTGACGCTTCTGGACTTCTATTACTGACGGACGATTGGTATAGGCCGAACGAGTTCAAGGCTCTTGTCACAAACTTTATTCAGAGTAATTGATCGCAAGGACTGCATAGACAGATTCCCGCAGAGTGGTGATGATCGATGTGCAAATAGTTCAACACAGCCTGCAATTTCATGGCACAGAAATCACAACGTCGATCACAGTGCATAAGCCCACACGACCGACTCTGCATGAGTCGTGGCGATGCTCCACATAGACGGAGAGCTCGCACATGTGTCGTTCATCGCCTCCAGCAGCGAGCGACGAAGATCCGTCGAGGTGGAGCCCTTCATACGCAGCACAGGAGGAGCAGAAGAGCAGCTAGCTTGAGCGTCACAAGATTCGCCAGAACCGAGACCAGCACGACACGCCACGGCGAGAGCATCGAGGGACAGCGTTGTACCGGCGATAACTCCGTCCTGATGGAGCAGCGAAATGAGCCCCTTCAATTTCGAGCAGTCCTGCCGGACTTCCGGGAGAGGTTTCCCAAGTGGCGCTTCGCGCAAGGCCTCTTGCTTATCTTGTGGAAGCTGCACTGGTCCTTGGCCAAAAAGATAGGCCCCTTCTCCCTGAGCGTGCTGGTGTCTCTGAGGCGATGAAATAGCTTGTGGTTGCGCACTCTTTGGCAGCTGCGAAGACACTGCGTGCTGCGGCGCCGCAACCACGTTCCCATCGCCATCGTCACGCCGCAAACAAGGTTCGGAAACGTGCCTGCGCGAGACTATCCGCGCATGCTCCGATCCGAGCTCAGACGCAGATGGAGACTCGTCGTTATCGCTCGACGATCCCAAAGCCTGAGCCCTGAGACTGTTGATCATCGGCCGCCCATTGACAATCTTGGATCCGTCTGTCACGATTGACCCAAACGCTGACACTCCGGTAGGATGCAGATGTCGATGTGAGCGGGGACGCGACGGGCGGCCGCGGCGGTAGGCGAGTCGCTGCGGTAGGACAAGAGGACGGAACTTGAGGCTCGTGGGTGAGACGATCGACTCGTGCTGCGCTTCTGCGATTTCGCGGCGTGCAACGTGGCTGGGGAGAATCAGAGGACGGAGCCCGGGTTTACCGTTCTTGCTATTGCGTTTGCCAAACGAGTCTGCGTCGGTGCTGGTGGTGGGCGAGGGAAGGTCGATGCCGGAGGCCCAAATGTGGAGGCGGGATTTGGGTGGCTTCGAGGACTTGTCGACGTTCGGGCCATAGAAGTATGCGGACAGATCGTTCAATGGACACCGGGCTCGAGTGTCGGCGCGGCCGGTTACAGATATCTTGGGCGGAGAGGAGGTATATGGTTCGAAAGAGGGGTTCCCCTCGTCGCTGTAGAAGATCGAAGGTGCTCTAGGGGCGAAAGGATCGAAAACATCACCATTGGAAGTGCGGGGTGAAGCGGTATCTTCGCGAATAGAATCTGGATCGGTGCGACGGCGAACGATGAATGCGAAGCGCTGCGACAGAGGAGAAAGCGGTGAAAAAGGACGCTTGGACTGCACCGGACTGGCTGATGGGCTTGATTCATCTCGCGAATGTAGTATGAACAGTCCTTTGAGTCCTCGGCGCTGAGCGAGCCCACTAGCCTCTTCTGCTACTTCAGGCAGGCTGAATGGTGAGAGGCTCCTAGGCTCGGTGGTGCCCTTGGGTGATGTGCATCGAGAGGTATCGCATGTTCCAGATAGAGAAGAGCCCGGTCGAGATGTCCCCGGAGTCAAGTCGAGAGTAGACAAGTCGGTCAAAGACGGACAGCTAGTAGAGGAGGAAACAAGACTAGGAGTTGCACCGCCACAGCGTGGAGGATCACACAGAACAGCATCTTCACGAATCTTGCTTGAGAGTAGTTGACGGACTTCGGCGCATTCCTCGAAGGTCCGAGGTAGATCGCCAGTGTGATCTGTATGCGATATGCAATGAGATCATTGGCGCGATATCTCAGGTATCGAACTAAAGCATTCACCTTCGGACGTGGTCGGACCCGGTGACGAAGTGTTTCGACTAGTGCGGGGCCGCAGCAACTTGGGAGAGCCAACGTTCAGCCTCTGTGCAAGGGCGGAAAAGACGCTTGACATGACGGCTAGTTTTGCGTCGTTCGCGACGGAGAGGCGGGGTCCACCAGTTTTGGAACGATTCCGGCGCATATATATGGGAGATGACGGTGGCTGACTTGCGAGCCGACTTGCGAGCTGACTTGCTGACTTGCGACGGAGACCGGGCGACGCATCATTCAGTATAAGTTACTGGTGTCAGTAAGACCAACTTCTGATGTCCTAGTAGGGGAGGGTCTTCTTGCTTTCAGAGGTTCGGCGCACTGCGACCGGGGCAACCGTCAACCGCGATACGCGCGCATATTGCGCGCCTCCATGCAGGAGATCCCAGCACACTTTCATGCGCATGTGAATGTAGAAAATAGGGACGGATCTGTGGACTCGATTCAAGTAGTGCTCGACTGAACAAAGCCGAGTTTACCTGTGGGGGAAAAGGGTCGGGTAGATGGTGGCCAGGTCCAGGATACGCCGGCGGCGCGATCGGTTCGGCAAGAACTTCACGAGGCAGCATGCCCATCGCAAAATGACTCCCTCACGTAAAGAGCTCGTTGAACCTCTACTGCCAACATCTTCGTCTTCCTGCACTACAGGCTCGACCCGCAAAGACGGTGTGCCCCGCTGCTAGCCTGCAACATGTCTGGGTATCTGGAACTGTCGCCGCCGCCCGGTCTAGACTAGTAGAGCGTCTTTGGCGACTTGAATGAAAACACGCGTTCTGTGCATTCCACCCCAAAGCCCTACTGGGCAGGACGAATATCCGAAGCACCGCCAATGCGTCGTCCATGATAGAGATTCTGCTGTGGACAGCCCCACGACGATGATGGACGAGCAAGAGGAGGAGCGTTGCTGGGAATGGAGATGGAGAAGGCGATAACAGGGCGACGCCGGTGCACTTGCCGCATTTGAGTTCATCGCAATCGGCGGGTCCCAAGGTGCGTAATGAAGCGTCTTCTTGTCCAGAACATGAATGCCTTAGTTCGTTCCCTCTTTGGTCGTCTGCGGTTCTCAGGCAGCACGCTGCAACCATGCGTGACCTCCACTCTCCTCGGCGAACCTTAGATGAGCTGCGGCAGGATGCGCGATCTCCTCATAACCCCCAATCTCTCGCCTCCGTCCCGGATCGTACGCCCTTCTCTCGATATCTTTGGGCTCAGCTATCTAACCCGCCGTGCAACCTTCATCCTTTCTGAAGTACGTACCCCGGTCTTTGTGCGATTGACTTCAGGACGGCTCACGTCCACTATTGTTTCTCGCAGCGATGAGTCTAGCAGCACTCCTATCCCCACGCCATCCGAACCTTCCGCACCAGCGGTCACCCCCCGGGGCTTTCCCTCCTCGAAATGACCTCGCGTGAGTCCTTGCTCTTGTTGCTCTCGTCCCGGGCCACCCAAACCGATCCACGTTCGCAGTGTACGCCCTCTACTTGCACCTATGGCTCGAGCGCCACGCATCGAAACCGCCTCGAGACGAGCTAAGGATCTTCCGGTGAGTAAGGACAGTACAGCCGTTACCCGGCATATCCTCAAAGTATCCCATGTCCCAGCGCGACCCCACATATTGGGTCGACCAAGACCTGCTGTCGTTCGTGAGCCTGCACTACCCTCCAATCGAGGCCTCGCCGCTATCGAGCGTCATCGAGAAACACAAACTCACCCCTCAGGCTCTGTGGTATCTTCAAGACAGCCACGAGCATCTTTCTACGTAAGTCCTCTATCTACCCTTCCAAATCACATCGGATTCACCCATCGCTGGTAGGATCGCGAAGGATGAATCCTTGAAGGAGACACTATTGAAGCTTGCAGAATCCGTGCAGCCCGCCGTTTCTCCTACTACTCCCCGCGTCCGCCATGTGAGGAGGCTGTCCGAAGACCTCCTACGACCTCCGCCACCGTCACCGCCCCCTGCTGTGCCGTCACCACCACCTCCGGAAGAACCAGTGCTGGAGGACGACGACGACGTCGCCGAGAGCATAGTGAGTGATTGGGCATTCGACGAAGACAGGGATGTCGACGACAACTCAGCGCCGGCTGCGGGCGAATCGTCTGCGCCCGCCGACACTGCCCCCGTTCCAGGATCCCCGGTCCAGGGTCTCGGTCTTCACACAGGTGAAGAACGCTCCGACGTCCCCGAAACCGCACAACCTCCACAGCCGGAATCCACAGGCGGGGTCGACCTCATGACCTTCGAGGACGACTCCCAGCAGGAGATGACGCCTTTGCAGGCTACGTCCCAACCGCCCGCCGCAGCACCAGTGAACGCGGACGCCGACCACGCTCCCGCCGCTGATCCTCCACTCGAGGAGATGATCTCTGCGCAAGGCGCGTCGGCGGGCACCCACGTGCCCTCTGCTACCGAGGAGGAGCCGTCGTCCACCACCGCCACGCGAAGCGCAGATCAGCTTGCTCCCTCGGACGAGCCTCTTGCCACGCCCCGTGCTTCTCAAGACGCCCCTGCAGGCGAGCCCGCCGATCCAGGCCCAAGTACCCAGACTTCGCCTGTCGAGGACGAAGATCATCGCAGATTTTCGGAACGTGACTCCACACCTACTGCAGATCCGCCGCGCACGGCTTCGCCGTCTTCGGACTACCATGACGCCAACAGTACCCATGATGAGGAGGGCGAACAACAGCAGGCTCCCGCTGCTCATGCGGCGCCTGAAGAGAGCTCGTCGGAGCCGGCACAGCAGGCGGAGGGGCACGAGGCGGAGGGACACAAGCCGTCGGCTGTCGATCAGCAGTCCGCGAGGGAGACGGACGCGTCTGTCTCTACGTCGGAGGACAAGCACGACGAGGTCTCCGCGACCCCTGACGAGGACGCATGGGGTCTAAGCGAGGAAGTATCAGGTCTGAGCGAGGACACTTCGAAGTCCGGCGAGGACGTGTCAAAGCTTGACGAGGGCGCGTCAAAAGACGGCGGGGACGAGCCCCAGGTGACGGAGACCACACCTGCCGAGGAGCCCGTTCAGCAACCCTCGCTCTCACCCTCCTCTGTCGAGCCCGCATCGCAGCTATCTCCTGAGGAGACCGTCCCGGAGAGCGGTGCTCAGTCGTCTGCCACGCAGGAGGACGAGATAGCCCAACAGGTAGCATCGGGGGACGCGGAAGAGGCTCAGCAGCCCCAGGTGCCTCTTCCGGAGCCCACGTTGCCCGACCCTCTGTCGTCGGAGCAGTCTAGTGAGACCGTTGCGCTGTCGGAGCAGTCTGATGAGACCGTCAAGGCTGAAAAGTCTGTTATCGACGACGTCCGTGCTGTAACATCTGTGGAGAACGTTGGCGAGGACAAAGACGCGAAGGTCGAGGCAACCGAGACGAACGCGACCGAGACCGAGACGCCACCACCAGCGGCCGCCTTGGAACAGACTGACGAGCCTGCTGTCGTCGCCGACGATCCTCAGCTACGTTCCACTGAGCAAGATGTCGACGGAATCAGCAACGGAGTCAGCCACGAGGCCGTGACTACAGAGGCGAAGCCGGCGCAGGGCCCAGACCAGACCGACGACGCGCCGCAGGTGCCAGGGAACAGCACGAGGTCGACCTCGACTCCTTCCGAGCCTCCAGCTACCGACACTCCCGCTTCGACCACGTCCGCGGACAAAGCCACGGCGACGATGCCGGCTACGCCGTCGTCGCCAACCGTCAAACTGGCGTCCGGCCGTGAGATGCAACTAGTCAGCCTCGACTCTGAATCGAGGGAGCAGACGCCTGCTGCAAGCGCAAGCGGTACTCCCGCGGGCTTATCCCCGAGTCCAAGTGGTACTCCCTCAGGCGCGTCGCCGATCCCGAGCAGTTCACGACAGACGAGCCCTCCTGCGTCGATGATACCCGAGGGCAAGGATACGTCGACATCTTCCCCGTCTGTACCGATGGCCAAGGCTGCCGAGAAGTCCCTGCGGCTTCCACAACTCGATACTACTCTTGGGCCCCTAGCTGACTCTGTGCGTCCCGCCGGACCCTCAGCTAATCACCATGCAAACCCCTGGCAACATTCGCCTGCAGGGGGTCAGGCTTCGTCGTCGTCTTTCACGAGGAGCCCCGTTGGTGGACGAGCCCCACCTTATTCACCTGCTCCTCAGGCGAAGAGCCCTGCATGGGGGTCTGCAAGAACCTGGGTCACATCACTCACGTCGTCGTTGGGGCTCGGCTCCCAATCAGAGCCCACCACTCGCAACCCGTCCCAAGAGAGGGAACAACCTCCTCCGCCTCCTCGTACGTCCCTCACACCTGCGCCTGCTCACACCCGCCAAGAACAGGGAGCGGGACGAGGAGCTGGACGAGGTGCATGGGCCCCAGGCACAAAGAAGAGTTGGTCAGCAACTGTATCGGCGTCGACAATCTCGCAGCAAAATACGACGCCTCCTCGAGAACAGTCACAGAAAACACCCGCACCACCACTCGCATCCCCATCAGGCCCCTCGCCTGCACCTGAACCGTCGGGGGGCTCAAGCCAGGTGCCTGACAAGACTGCAGCTAGTGAGACTTCCGATACAACGTCGCCGAAGACAAAGGCGTTGGAGGCGGCCGGAGAAGCTGTCGAGCTTCAGAAGACCGAGTCCGGACTGGAGCAGGAGGACGTGTCGACCGACAGTGTCCTCGTCGATGCGGACACACCCAGCGCTGTGAATGGCGGATCATCTCGCATCGGCGACGCCGAGGTTGCCTCCGGTCAGCCCAAACCCCCGACCCAGGCTAGCATGCCGTGCCGGAATGAGGCAGGAGGGCAGGACAGTACCCAAGGCGCTGTCAGTGGTTCTGACGAGGACCTTGTGGAGATCACCCTTGACGATGCCGCCTGTGCTCTCGAGGTGGTCACTGGGACGACGCAGAAGCCCGAAGATGATGATGATGAGGACAACTTACCCCTCAATAAAGCGGTAGAGCGTCTTCGTCAGCCCACGGGGGGGTCTGTGTCGAGCACGCTCACGTCTGATACCGAGACACAAGCCGACGAGGACCAGATGTCCAGTAGTACTGACCGGCGGAATAGGCCCGAGATTCGGATACCGGGCCTCACTACCAAGTCTCAAGGAGTGAATTCGCCCATTGCCGATAGTCCTGTTGTTGGGGTCAGTTCCATGTGTCTTCCACCTTGTGGTTTCCGATCGCTCTACTCACGCCGTCTCGACCTGCAGAGTCCCTCACCGTCTGACTCTGCAGCCACGAGGAAGCAGCGAAAGAAAGCTAGACAGAACGCGAAGAGAAAAGCAGAGAGCGGTGGCACATGAACATTGTGCATCGTCTTAGGGGTTCCATTGCATGTCATATCTCTGCATGTTCTATGTCGTTGTCTCCTGCCTCGATACCCAATTTATCCACATGTATTCCCATTATAGCGTAGTATACTGTATGATCCCTCTGTACCATAGCATTGTCTTCTTCATTGACAACACGCATCATTGAAACTGGAAGCCCAGGTCAGGGGTGAACAAAATCGGGCTTTACAGTGCCGCTGGTCGCTTAGGTTGTCCCGCGTGGGAGGAAGCGCGAGAGCTGGTAGAACCCCTCGCCGACGATCATACTGCTCGCCTCGGGAAACGGAGTGATGCACTCGGTGAACGGAATCGACTTGGCCATGTAGACCGCCGCGTTCGTCGCGTTATTCGCGCCGATGTTGATTCCCCACGTCATGTAGACATTCCCGTGAAGAGACCGTAGGATAATCGATGGGCTTGTATCTTTCCTTGTGCTGAGCACTTGTTAAATGCTGCGCTATCTCCAGCATTCGGCCTCTTGACAAGCCATGCCACCTGGAAAGCAATACTATCAAGAGTCGGAGGCAAAGCCGCGTTCAAGACCGTCCGGGAGGTTTCATAAAGGACTTCAGGGCTTCATTTGACATCTGGGCTGCGTAGACCGCACTCCGTCTGTGGAACATTCGTGACAAGCTACCCACTCGTGTGCAATGAGTTGAGTTGTAAGGATTCTCGAGAGCTGTTGCACAGTACATTTGTGAGACTGCGGTCATTTGAGTATAATAATCTTAATTATATTGTCTCAAGAAAACTCCTCCAGAAGCCTGGGCCGGATTGATATGACGAATAAGAGATTACTGGGACGGGCCTACAACGAACTCCTTTGTCTTGAAGCTGGTGAGCTGGTTGAGGGTGTCCTGATCGATACCCAGGTGGACCTGAACCAGCTCTGGCGGCGTCAAAGCCAACCACTGCAAACAGTCGCTGATTCAGTAAGGACACATAGAGCCCAGGAACTTGTACACACCTGTCTTAAACTAACGTCCTGGACAATGCCTATACAAGTTGATGTGAGCAAGCAGTCACACCCTGACCGATGTTGGTGGGTCGCAACGTACCGGAGGGGAAGAGCTCCAAGAAGTGGAGCGTGTCGTTACCGGTGTTCTCAACGAAATGACCTGCCCAGAGAGGTCAACGCTATGCCAAACTCAAAGGAGTAATGCTTACCCATCGAAGCGGGGACGAAACCGACATCACCGGCCTATGAGACGATATGCACGCTCAGGACCACAAGGTTGGTGAGGTTGGATCAAAGATTAACGTGCCTGATAGTCGAACGTCCTAGATGTCGACGTTCCGGCGAAGATCGTGACGCGACCTTGTCCGCTACTGTATTCCGGGATAGCCCTCGTCAGCACGAACATAGAAAGCGCCCCAAGGAAACGGGGAGAAACCACGCACATATAGAAGGTCCATTCATCTTGAGTGGGATGCCACTGCGCATCGCATGCCTGTGAGTATACTGCGCACGTGCATCATCCGTAAACTTACATGAATTTCCCTGCGGGTGGCGTTAGTGCGGCGTTAGGGGAAAGTCCATATAGACCAAGGGGCAAACCTCATAGCACCAGGCTCGACCGTCACCTCGATTGCAGAGATCTGGGTCGAAGCCGGGAAAGTGGTCTGGTCGACAATCTTGATAGTGCCTCCTTGGACCTGAGTAGCCTTGACCTGCGACAGGGCAAACGTCCAGGGTTGTGGAATGGTACCTTGAGGGTCGCTAGGAGGTTGCTGGTTGACCGGAGGGGGAGCTGTCATCCGAATATGTCAGTAAATACGTGGAAAGGGAGACGGTGAAGCTGATGTCAGCCACGCACTGCTCGGGAAAATGTATAGTTCCTGGCTGGGAAGGTTGTTGAAGGCGGAGATGCTGGTCTGGAAGTTTTTGGCGATGACTTCCTTGGGAATGTGCGACAACCAATCAGTCAGCTGTGCAGTTGTGGTGTCAGTCGATCAGAGATACAAGTGGACACTGCCTAAGAGGGACTGACCAGGAACGTCGAGTCTTCGCTGAAGGAGCCGTCGGGGAAGACCTAGATGACGTCATTGTCAAGCGTTCAGAACCTCCTGTCCCGCTATGGTTGACTTACGAGCACGAATTCGGCACCATCCGGATTCTCGTTGGTCGCTTGAAGACTGTGAGGCATACCAGCAGGGAAGAACCAAAGGTCCCCTGGGTTCTAGGTGATGTGAGTCGGTGAGTTCCAAGCCTCCTACATGCACCTGAGCACGGACTTACCACGTGCCCGATGAAGTTCTGGCCATCCGCATTGATAGCAGTCACTTGGACGGAACCCTGGACGAGATATCAGCAAGTTTGCGCTTCACGAGGTAAACCTGACATACGTTCAAGATATATGCCCACTTTGGGAGATGCCACACATCGCATTAGCAACCTGGGTAACATCGGAGGTCACGGATACGAAGATTACTATACCTCAGAAGTCTTGTGCCAATGCAGCTCCCTAATAGCCCTTGTGAGCAAGTGCAAGGGATGAAGATGGCGTAATTGGACACTCACCGAACTGCCCCAGCTTCCAGACGCATATTCACACCGGCCATAGCTGCATTGGACTTGAGCTGGCTGCCTATAGTTAGACGCAACGGCTATGACTCACAGGTTGAGATGGGCATGACACCGACTGTGATGATAAGGTTTCGTCAGCCCTCAGTCAGACGCACTCGTGGGTGGCATAGCCCCCACGCCTCAATCAAGGCCTATACGAGACATACCGTTCTGCTCACGGGCCCAGCCTCCTGTCTGTAGACGGTTATGGCTGAGACTGAACGGCCACTTTGCGTTCTGGCTATATTCGTACCGCAAGTCAACACGCGTCCAGGTCTTTTCAGGCACACAGCAGAGTTCAAGGGAGGCACATACAATTCCCCATGGTCCGTCGACGGCGGTGCGAGCAGATCTGGGTTCTGCACGTCGACAGGAATGTTCTCGTTGGTGATCGTGGGGGCGCCGAGCTGCCCACGAATTGGCTGGGGGTTGACGTCGGGGGCGTTAGGCTGGAAGATCACGTTGTTGGGGTCATCGCTCGCGGGTGGTACAGTGGCATCCGGCGGAGAAATCTGGGTCCCCGAAGGGGTGCCTCGTGCAGCCGCAGACACAGAGCCGCTAGCGTCGGGGGCTGCGCTGGCCGCGGGGGACGCGTTCGTCGCAAGGGATGCAGTAGCTACGGAAGATACCGCAGATGCGGCTGTCGCGAGGGACACGCTCGCTGCGGCCGAAGCGTCAGCGGCAGAGGCCGCGCTGGCCGCAGGTGCAGCTAGGGCGGACCCAAGCTGCAGAGATAGAGCGACGAGAGAGAGGAGTGAGCGGACCATTGCGGAGAATGCTGGTGAACCCTGGCGGTGAGGAAATGCGCATTTGAGCTGAGGCATTTATACCTTCTCCGTCGGCGAAAATCACCTAAGCATCTACGCAGGAATTGATGGCGGCACACCTGTGTACGCCACAGGTCACCTTAGGCCATAGCCTGGGGATTACACCGCCGGTGCACATACGGTGAGCTTCCTTGAGGTGCCAGGGTGTCGTGCCCGAGTTTACTACGATCAGTTAGCCACTTCGGGGCTGAACTTCGTGGGTTGTCGAAGGGCCATCGGGCACGGATCTCGAGATGCCGCATTTGAAACAAATCGCCAAGCCCTGATAGGGTGTGAGGTTGACGTGGAGTCGACCTTTGCGAAGCATGCTGCTGACCAAAGCCCGCGTGATTGCGTGGACGTGGAATGAGCACTCGTAAAGCGGGAAACTACAGATGAGTCTGAGGGATCCTCCGGGAGCTATCGTCCTAGTCCAGGCCAATCATTGTGGTCGCCCCGGCTGCGATCGCACGTTTTAGACTGACGGGCTGGCGAAGGACGAGCGGGCCGCCTTATGCCTCGAACCAGCGCTGTACGATGGTGTGAGCGCAATAGGCTTTGGCTCAAAGATGACAAACGCCCTCGAGAACTCACGCAAATTATCCTTCGGTGGCTCTAGGTCGACATACCTTGCGACGGTGTGATCTTGTAGCTTCGTTATCGTTCCGTCTCAGCCATATCTGGACATAAATAATCACTTGAGCGTGCGTCCGCGCGGCCGGGAAACGACTCGGGGTCTGCCCCAATCGATACATAGCGCACCGAAGGTTCAGGAACGGGGTGCTCGAAGTGACATGTTGCCCTCGTGTGACAGTCCATGGAAACACAACGGTACCGAGGGCTGGGTAACAGTGACGGACGCCGTAGCCTGTTACGTTCACGTCCGTATTCCCTCGCAATCGGCAACGAGAAGTCCTCGGAGGACGTCGACGATGTGTCTAGTACATAGTATTGTAAACTGTCACCAAAAGGTTGGACAATCCACATACATTAGCTGGAAGAGGCAATGACCCTGCTACGTCGCATATGAATTAATGTCTAAGCTGAATTGGACCTGCAAAACTCACTCAATAGGATCGCTGAGTCGTGCACGCCTATTTAGGACGCAATGTTTGAAACGAACCATTAATGAGGCGTGCCTTCTGACGGCTTCCCATGGGGTCGACCCTCCGAGGACGCACGACACACAAAAATAGAGGACCAGAAACTCCCACCCATGGCACGGCCATGGTAATAATAGCCCTCTCAGGGCAATGTAGATCCCCAAATAAGTGATGACGCCTATCCTAGGACTTGAGCTCGATGGACAGACGGCGGGCTCTGTGCAAGAAGTCTTATCTTCTGCAAGGAGTGACCACCCGAAGTTCACTCACTGCGCAGGAAGCTTTTGGGCCGCCGGTGGGTGGTGGAATGTCACCAGGAGGATGGCGGCGATCCACCGGGAGAGCCATCGGAAGGGCCATTGGAGAGGAGAAACGATCTCGCCGGCCCACATGATGCGAGTTGAAGTTGCATGAGAAGAGGATCCACGGGTACAGGCTGACTGTGGGCAAGTCATGGTCAGGCGATTGCAGAGGATGTCGCAAATAGGTCGTGTATTAGGATATGAATGTACTCGAGACGAAAAGCCAGAGGTGCCTGTTCAGCAGGGGAAGATGCGGACCTGAACTCCTTTCTCCAGAAGGTGTGCGGTCTGTTCGGCGTCAGCAAACCAACTAAACCCTTTCTCGTAGCCTTTCCGGCCCGGAGCGACAGGGTACTTTAGCCGTCGTAGACACGAGCGATATGGCAGTGCTTGCACATGCATGTGTAGATGGGGCACCGAGATGTACGGAGGGATATGAAAGCCCAGGCTGAACCATATTTCCATGTCAGCTGAAAAAACACGCTATCATGTCAAGGTACTTGCCGTCTGAGGTGAGGAGGGGTGTCCAAGCCGTCCAAGATTTTGTGGCCGATATCCATCATTTCTCTTACTGAACGGGCTCAATTAGCTCAGGGTCGTTACGACAACTTGAACTCATGTACCCATTACAGCATCGGATGGGTGTAATACCTTCACGCTCTCTGGTAGCTAGACTCAGATACGTCATATGGAAAAGGCAGAACTTGCATACCTATATGTCGTTTCGGAATCACTTGCAGATGATGCTCGGCAGAAGGATTAATATCTGTGAATACTGTATAGGTATCATTCTGTGGGGCATAAGCCCAGCAACCATCAGCTATGGACGAGAATGCAAGACACATAACGCACCTCCCAAACGATATTGAAACCGTTTTCCTTGGATGCGCCGCAGAAGATACAAGACAATTGCAGCGACGCATGTGGATAGAGAACTGACTGTTCATCTACGTCATCTACGGGTTTCGTAGTAGGCTTTGCGCGCGAGGAGACGAATACCACCCTAAGGATGGATAACAACCTGCAATGCAACGCTTGAGAGTCCCGGTAGGATAGGTCATCTACATGCGTGGCACAGGCAGCGTCCAAACGCATTCCGCTCCAGAGAAGAAAACAGGGGAAAATAGCGGTCGCAAAAGAATCGCTAGGTGATACTTAACAGAACAAACGAGGACGAGGACGTGAGCAGAGAGTAGAATACGGAAAAGACACGGATGACGCCTCTGACCAGCGACGGGACGGTGGGTAGGACGTTAGGCGCCAGTTCCAACCTTGGGCGCTACTCATCCGGGCAACCACGTGGGCGCCACCAGGAATATGCGGCGGTTCGCCACACGCCATCCCTGCCCCGTTGCACCATCTTATAGCCGCCTCAACCCCAGTACACAGGCTCACAAGCGTACGCTTTGCTGCACAAGGACTGGGTTGCCTTGTAGTCAGAGTTCTCCACTCTGTCGGTCATGTCATCGGGGCTGGATCCGGAGAGTGGCAAATGCCCACACCTCTCTGCGATTTTCGACGATGATTCCGAGAGTGCGGCACTTCTCAGCAGATACAATGCGGTGGTTAAATGGCATGCTCATTGCGCACACGAATTTGCATATCCCGCCAAGCGTCGCAAGGCAAGCATGCTTACAGCGAATTTTTGTGTTATTTCTGCTAACGAGACACGCCCGATATCCAGATTGCCCCGCCGGAATGCGGTGTTTGCCAGCTTCCACTTTCAAGGCCATATGCATGCCTACACTGCTCAATGGCGTGCTGCTGGCAGGATAAACATATCCAGAGACACCTCCAGGATTCTGGACACGATCTTTGTAGGTCATTCACAGACCGCTCAGTCGGCTCGACTGCTCTTTAAGGCGGTACCGGACACCTCCACACTCCCATTCTCTCGTTATAAATAGTCGCTGACTTCGATGCGTGTAGGTGTTGATGTCAAAACAGGCTATGTATTCTGTATTGAATGTGACGACTTCGTATATGACAGCACACTGGTCCGCGCCTACTCTTCATTGAATCTCAGGATACAAGAGACCGCCACTAGATTTGAAGGTTCGTGTGAGACGCTAGCTTCCGCCCCCATATATATGATGTTATTGGTCAGACAAATCTAAAAAGGGAAGAGAACCATTCGTCGCCTGGGTACCAAGTACACAAGAAGTTGCTGCGCTCGAAAGCACCCTGCCTGCTCCATGTCAAGGTTCGTCGCCCACGTCACAAGGTTGGTGCGTTACACTGATATCTTTCTCAATGAAAGGCCGCCGAGGTCTCCTCAACTTAGGACAGACTTGCTTCATGAACGTAATATTGCAGTCTTTCATCGCGAACCCGTTGCTGCGCAATTATTACCTCAGCGATAAGCACAACAGCAAGCTCTGTAAGGTCAAAGACTGCACGTCCTGTGAAATGGACAAGCTATATTCGGAGGTAGTGGTACTCATAGCGTCCACAAAATACGTGGTGAATTGACCTTCAACTTAACAGATATACTCCGAGAATTCCACGCCCTATGGCCCTATCGACCTCCTTGCGAAGATGTGGAGGGTATCATCCGAGCTGTCAGGTTATGCACAACAGGATGCCCACGAGTTCTTCATCACCGCTCTCAATCAAATCCATGCCACGTCGAGAGGCTCGACATCGCTGCAGTGCATCTGCATTATTCACTCGACCTTCGCGGGCCTCTTGCAGAGCGACGTCAAATGCGAGCGTTGCGGGAAGGTTGCGGACAAAACCGATCCGATGCTTGATATAAGTCTAGAACTCAAGGGCGAAACCGGGAACGAGCAGACCTTGACACTAGCGTCGTGTCTTCGCAGGCAGGTCCCTTCCTTGATTCCCCGTGGCTTCCTCTTTCTCTCTTCGCTTCCGTCCCTTTCCACGCACTCATCTTCACCACCGTTGACGTCAGGTTCACCCATCCGGAAAAACTCGGCCCTAACGAGTATAGCTGTGAGAAGTGCGGCAAGGCCTCTCATGTACGTCTATCTGTCTTTATCCCGTCCGTTCTCATCATGTCTCGTGTCCACGTAGGCAAGCAAACGTTTGAGCATCCGGAAGCTGCCTCCCGTTCTCAGCTTCCAATTCAAGGTGAGAGCATGAGACCATTCGCAGCAGCAGCCGTCCCCAAGCTCACACCATTTTTCGATGCCCGTTTCCAAATGCCCTCGAATACACCTTTGACTTCGTTCCTATCCAATTCTGTCCACGTCTATCTCACCAATGCCCCTTGCCCTTGCCGGCCCCGCGGGTCGCATTCTCATACCTGCCCGTGTCTTCCGCATCTCTTCTCCGTTCCCGTTTTCGTCCCCGCGCGACGCCGTGCCTTCGTGCGCCGTATAATGTGCTAAACTCAGCGCTTTGAGCACAAATCTGTCGACAAGTCGGCGGCTCGCAAGATCGAGGCCCCCGTCCGCTTCCCAGCCTCGCTAAACATGGCGCCATATACGACCTTGGTCATGCACAAGCAGGAGCAGCTCAAGGAGTCCAGCGCACCCGCCTCCCTTATCCCGTAAGCATACCCTGGTTTGGCTCGCTCTTCTCTTCTGCGCTCTTCCCTCTCCGTGTCACGTCGGGCTCGAGTACGCTGTCCTCCCATGCCGCCTCGCACGGCGGCCTGGCCGTCCCCACGTCCATCAGTCCCATTGAATGAATACCCAAGTCTTCCACAATACTAACACACCACCTCCACGCCCCTCCCTCCCGCGCTCATCTAGGGACAGGAACCTCGGTCCCGCATCGCTATACGAATACGACCTCTTCGCGGTGGTCTGTCACGAGGGCCAGATCGACAACGGGCACTATACGTGTTTTGCGCGTTCGCACGACGAGGTCCGTTCCCTCCGCATCCGCATTCGTCCTTTCCGGCTCGCCGCTCCATTACTTGATTCTCACCGTCACTTTGACATGCGCTTCTCACCTCTCTCACCGCTTACGGGTGTACCACTACACCGCGTTCCTGCTTCCCTCCGGTCGGTTTCGTGCGCCTCTGCGTTCGTGCATCCGCGCGCTCTCAGTGGTACCGATACGATGACGACAAGTACGTCCTTCCACGATTCCACGTGACGCCCTCACCATTTCTGCATGCAATGTGCTCATCGGTCGCGCACCCACCTGCTTGCTTGCTTTTCGCACAGGGTGACGCACTCGACGCTCGGTGCTTGCCTCAACTCTCAGGCGTACATGTGCTTTTACGTCAAGAGGCATCTCGACTACAAACCTTACGTGACGCCGTCGTACGTCGTCACTCGCGAGCAAGAGGCCGTTAAGGAGAAGGAGAGGGAACGAGAGAAAGAAGCCGCTCGCATGAGAGAGGTCGAGGATGCGCTTTTGGCCGCGATATGACTGTGCACGCGATCTTGGTTTGGGTCTGACTGGGGGTTTACGTTGTTGTACGATAATTGTCTGGAGAAGAGTATACGAAAGTATGGAGTTCGGTGATGTATACTGCGTGCAGAAACGCGGTAAAGGTGAGTGAGTCGTGAGTACCTAAGGTACACAAGGGACGAGGTATACGAGAGAGCAGTGAATGAGAGGTGTCAAACGTCTAGCACTATAATACATAGCGAACGGAAGACGATGGAGCAAAGTACAGAACGAACTGGGATGATGGCTCGTCAATGGGTGCCATTCAGGGAATGATGTCGTTCAACTCTCCCTCCCGAACCCGAATCTCAACCACTTCAACCTCGTAGTCCATCATGGACGAGTTCGTCGAAGACACGGAAGACGACACGAAGCCACGGGAATTTGAGGGAGAGGTTGACGCGACATCTGGATGGCACAACACAGACGGCAAGATCATGCATTCATGTGAGCTCACGAGGATCGGGGACAAGGAAAAGGAACGAACATCTGTCTTTGATGTACGGCGGGACGAACAGGTCCTACATGACATCATCGACGAAGTTAGCAACGCATACGACGGAAATGAACTTTCAAGTGCTCACCTGATTCCACACAAAGCCCTGGCTCTTCTGAATAGTCAAAATGGGCCGGAGAGTGAACACTGGCTGCTGGCGGTGCTTCTTTCTATGCTCTCGCTTGGGACTCTCAAAGTGCTCAACTGCACGCTGCTTGCCCTTGACGTCCTTCTTCATCTCGGCAACCTTTTCCGAGGAGATAGCGTCGTCGCCCTCATCGATCTCCAAGTCGCCGTCGATCTGGGTGGATCGCGCGTCGCCGGTAGAGACGGGCCGCTCGGGGTCGGAACGGGCGTGTTCATAGTCTTCTTCGTCCTCGGAGCACGAGTCATTGTCAGACGCACTGTCGCTGTAGTCATCCCCATACGGGATCTGCTCGTAGCATGCCCATGTCGGGGGCGACGGCGCACGCCCGATGGGGCGGCGACGGAAGAAGTCAGGGTAGGCGGAGTCGGTGCTCATGAGTGTCAAGTACGGGTGCCGGATGCGTGCGCTTGATGTCGAGAGACGATACTAGGTTGTCGGGGCTATATAGGCGAGCGATGGGGCGATGGTGGTGGTCGGAGAGCAAGAGCGGAGTGACCCGGAGGCGCAGGATGTGATGCGCTGTGACGGGGTCCAGGGCTGGTGTTGGCGACCGAGTCACAGCGACCCAGATAAGGAAACGCCTCCCTTGCGCCTCGCCGCTACCAGGCGTTGATTGGCACGTATTGTCCGCCCTCGAGGCTTTCTAGCCGAAAACACCGCCTCTGAACTGAACACAGGACACAACGTGCCTCCAATCGCACGAATCGGGTGCTTGCTCGATATCGCAACGAGGCGACGGACTGCAAAATGGCCGGAAGCAAGTTTGCCTATGTTAGAAACTTTGAGCTTCCAGACCCGCTGCTTCCGGGCACTTTCATGATTCTTCGCATCGACGGTCATGCATTCCATCGGTCAGTTGAGTGCATGTTCAGTGCGGCCTCCTGTTCTGACCATGCCGCCGCAGGTTGTCTGAGGAGCACAATTTTGCGAAGCCTAACGATGAAAGGGCCTTGCAACTAATGGATCATGCTGCCCGTGATGTAATGACCGAGTTCAAGGATATTGTGCTCGCATTCGGAGAATCGGATGAGTACAGGTGATACTGTCTGATTGTCTTCATACTAGGCTGCAGTCAGTGACGGCTTCATTACTAGTTTCCTATTCCGCAAGAGCTCTACGCTATACAACCGACGTGAAGCAAAGATTCTCACAACGGTCACCTCTCTCTTCACGTCATCATACGTGTTCAATTGGTCAAAGTATCTTTCCGATACACCGTTGAAGTATTGTCCGTCATTCGATGGTCGAATAGTGCTCTACCCTTCCACAACCGTAGTCCGCGATTACTTCTCCTGGAGACAGGCCGACAGTATGTGGCACCCACTCGGACCGTCATGAAGAACAATCGATCGCTCACTGATATCAGCCCACATCAACAATCTATACAATACGCTTTTCTGGGCTCTCGTCCTGAAGGGAGGTCAGACAACGACACAAGCGCACGCCGTTCTCAGGGTATGTCCGAAATTTCGATAGGAGCTGAATGCAGACTTACGCGATGCTCCTAGGGCACTGTGTCTTCTCAGAAGCATGAGATGCTCTTCTCCCGCTTCGGCATCAATTACAATGAGCTCGCCGCTAGGTTCAGGAAAGGCAGCGTGTTGGTGCGGGAGGAGGTCCGTACGATCGTCTCAGTCCAGAAAGCTTGGCTGATGCTTGTCAGGTGTCGACGGAGACCGAGGGCGTGGACGGTTTGGAAGCGACCCCTTTACCCGTCTCGGAAGAGGTTTCCGAGGTCGTGTCTTCAGGCGCGCCACGGAAAGCGTCGAAGAAAAAGGTCCGAGTCCGCACTACCATCGAGCTCTGCCACTGTGATATAATCGGCGACGAGTTTTGGAACGCTCGACCGAATATACTTGCCGATTAGCACCCTCCCCATCGTCTTGCTATGCCAACGGTGTCTGCCATGGTCTGTCTTGCTGCACACTCAGTCTACCAACCACGCAATTTTCTCATTCACGGACCGCCTCCTGGGATGCAATCACGTGCCGAGAATTCCCAGGAGCATGTGGATCATCCTGAGTCATGCCTCGGCGACAGGTATGTCCTGATGCTTGCCCCACCGGAATGCACTCACGGGTTCTCGACGATCGACCGAGTTGTGCCATCTCTTGCCATCCTACTCGCCTGTTACTAGCCTCGGCACTGAAGAGTCCCGGTCGTCGGATGAAGATGCCCCAGGACGGGGGAACCAGCCAGGCCGCCCGTCGATGTGGTGCGATCCACTGATTCGCCGGCTTACAGATCCTCGCCCCTCTCGTACTATACACCTGCGGATCTTTCAGTTGCTTCGCGTCCTTGCAAGGTAGGTACCTCATCCCTGGACACTCCTCGAAGCACCCCAATGCATGGGCACGAGCTACGAGTCACCTCCACCCCGTCCTCGCCTTCAGATCAGATCATGCCACGCTCGTGTGAGCATCACGCCGGTCCCAATCAACGGTAATCTCTCGATGTAGGGCAGCACACACAGCTGTGAGGTCGACTCGAATGTCGACCAGAGGGCTGGGTCTGGGGCTAGAGTCACCGGCGTGAGCGTCTTGTGAGTCTCCATGTCCTCCGGACCCCTGTTTGCTGTGATCGTCTCAACCGTCAGGGTGTTCCCCCTTGAGTGCCCCCTAATGCTTGAATGCGGTCGCTTTCATAGCTTGAAGAGGACTCATTTTTGTAAGACAGCAAGAAGCGTGAAGCTGCTTCGCTGCTATGACCAGATAGAAACACAAACCACCACTTACGACTCGCAGCAGGATCCTGAAACATCGCGATGCAGACCGATTGTCGCCCGCATATTCCACTGGCCTTCACAGGCTCAGCTTGCAGCATAGTGCATGTGAAGAACCTCGCGATACCGACATCAGGTTGACTGCCACTCCCTGAGCCGTCTCTGGCAGGTCGTCTGTCTGCTGGTTCCTTTCTAATTGTCTCATTTAGAGCATTGGTCTATAGGACTCGTGATTTAATCGTTGTGGTAGAACATTGCTTATCGATCATATCGTGGTCATTGGTCAAATATATCAGGCATATAACGTCTCAGGTAATCTCAAGTCCTAAGTGTTACGCCCTGGTTACGGTACTGTCTTGGTGACTTGTAAAAGCACGCTGGTCAAATTCATGTGACATATTGAAAGATCCTCGTCACATTTGGCCAGATGTCTTGATGACTGCACGGCAATACAGGGCAAGTGACAAATAAGCCGTCGGTCGGCGTCCCCAGTGTCTGACGTAGCGTGTTCGGCGTCTAAGTTGCCTTTGTCGGCCCTCGTCCTCAACTTCAATGTCCCGGACTCCGAACGCGTGGCAACGCCCACCGCATCGAACGATGGCTCTCGCGACTATCAGGTCTCACCAAGCACTCCTTCATAGGCCACCGAAGCCATTTCTCTGCCCTGAATGGCCTTGTAACGCTTCCTGGTATCATAGCGGACGTACGACGAGCCTCCGACTTGGAGGGGAACGCATTATATCATCGGCACCTAGGTTCCCCGCGACTCGCAGAACCCTTCTCTCCTCTCCTGTATCCACACGTATCATTCTTTTAGGACGGCTCATGAGTAACCTCAGCCGAGGTGAGACTCTTACACCCAATTACTACGTCTAACGCTGTGCTGGTGTCCGGTACACATCACCAGCGAGATGCAACCACTTAATTATGACGTCTCCTGGAAATTTTCGACTCAAACCATCCTGCTTGCCAGATGCGCCTCTTCCAGGGCTCCCCCCAGCGCCACCCTACCCATGCCCCTTCCTTACAGACGAAGAGATTACGACGTATCTCTTGCCGTTGTACTCTCGAGGTTGGACCGTTCGGCCCTCCAAAACCAGTGGCGGAAACAAGCCAGCTCCTGAACTTGTGAAGGCATTCAGCTTTGAGAGTCGTTCAAATCTCGACGGGTTCATGCTCAAGGTGTCGGAGCTGACACAATCCGAGAACGTAAGTCCTATCGGCATCGCTGCACCCGTCACGTAGGCACACAATGACCGCTCCTTGCAGCACCACCCCACAATCGATGACTCTTCAGATGAGGCTACCAGAACCATCAGAGTGCACACCCACTCGGGGCTACGCCCAGCCTCGCATCCAGGAGAGCGGCGCAAGGATCGGGTCCAACCTGGGATCACTCTTCGCGACATTCGCTACGCATACCTGTTTGAGGATCTTTTTGAAAGATGCGAGGGTGCGCGTTACCGAGAGCTCGAGCGCTCCGATATCCGTGCTCAGCCTACATCGCCAGAGGCTATCGAGGCACGACGGCATCACGTCGGCGAGTAGTATGGTACCCTCATGTACTCACACGATGAACTTCCCTCGTTTAACGTCATACGATGATCCAACGTGATACGCTGGCACCTGATATCTCAACTCATCGAGTCCGTCGTCGCTATGAATTATGACGAGCCTCGTCCGGAAAAGGCTTGAAGCTTTTGACAAGGTATTGTACAGCGGAACAACACAAGACATCAATTTGAAGGTATTTAGATTCTCAAGGCCAGGGCGTCATTAAGATGAACGCACGGGCGGGACGTGGTCAAGCAAGAATTTCTTCATGGCCTCCAACGTCTTATCGTGGGCCGACGTTGTGCCGGGGTACAGATCGAAATGACCTGTGTGGAACGGTGAGGGCCTCTCAGTACTTGACACCGATCCGACCGGGAGGATAAGGCTCACCACAGGGCAAAGTCACAAGCTCGACCTTGTTGGACGCGTCTTTGACCTTCTTTGCCTCAGTTATTGGGCAGAGGCTGTCATGCTCTGCTGCGATGATGATGGTAGGAAATGCTACTCGAGAGGCTGAGGCCGAGGGCGTGTAAAGGGGAAAGTCGAGCATAGCTGATGCGTTGACCTGTCATGAGGGATCAGCGAAGAAGTAGCGTTTCAGGGCCCGGGTCTTCTCACTTCATTCGGGTAGATGCTGGACCGAAGTGTAAACATCAGCACATGAGCTCCCAGGCAGGCATGTACCAGGCACTCACGCATCCCCTTTCACGATGCCAAACATGCCTTCGTAATTATCTGCCCATGTCATGAGGCCCACCTCACCGGGACGGGCGACGGCGGGCATGTATCTAGGGCTGAGCCCGATAGCCTGCTTGAGTAGGTCGGAGATAGCCGCGAACATCGTCTTGATGGATGCCGTACTGATGTGCGGGAAGGGCGTATTGCCCAAGTAGGGGCACTGTGATACAACAGCAGAGACATTGAGGTTTTCCTGAGAAAATGCCGTCAGTTATTTATGCACGACGTCGAATAGGTCGTCTGAGACTCTACCTCGCTAGCAAGGTTGACGACATGACCGCCTATAGTGTAAACAAGGTGAGTTGCTGCTGACGTCCTCTGTGGCATCTCGCTGAACGAACCTGAGAAGCTTGTGCCCCAAAGGATTACCCGCTGGGGATCAAATTCAGGCTGTTGCCTCACATACTTGACAACGGTCCTGTAGTCGTCAAGCTGTTCGGAGACGTAGACAACATGTCTTGGGGTACCGTCTAGGTTATCTAGTGAGTTTTCGTCTACCCCGGCTGAGTCATGAATACGAGCTTACCGGACGTTCCCCACCGTCGGTAGTCAAATACGACAATGCCGTAGCCCATACCGACGAATTCTTCTGCGTACTTACCAAGTCCCATCGACTTGTTGGCGGAGATGCCATGCGCCCTATCACACATGTCATTACATGGCAAGCATGACGTCGCTGATAGGCGTTGGTAGACCCCTACATGACAATGACGGGCAGTCCCTTCGGTTCGGCTCCTGCAGTCTTCGGAAGATACTTCCAAGCGTCGAGATTCCAACCATCGGTTTTCGATGGAATCTTGATGTTCAAGGTCTTCTCGAAGCTGGCCATGATGCAGATGGTGATCTGAGGTTTGAGCTAGATATTGGGCGGATGTGCAGCCCTATGGCCGCAGTCACCACGCATACTCGGAACGTCAGTTTTATTGACTGGTATTCATACAACCTGCCCGGGGGAACCACCAAGCGCCCGGCGATATCACAAAACGGCATGCTATGTCGCGAACGTACCTTTTCGGGAATATCCGCTTGTCGTGAGCACCACCGGTTTGGCCTTGCAGCTCACGAGCACGCGGAGTGGATTTCGTGCTTGAGTATGTGTCGTCGATGTTCGCGTTGCCTGTGACGTGGCGAGCGGACACCAGACAGGCAGGCGGGCGGCATACTAGCGTCCGACTACGGTTCACGGCTCTCGCCGCGACATCAAACCGCCGGTCGCCGCGGAGCGCGTGAAGGCAAGACTGTTAAAATCACCGCTACTACGACACCTGCAATGGTATTCGATCTACGCAGGTTTTAAATGTTTGGACGTTGAGCTTGGCCGGTAAGTCATAGAGGAAGTCACTTGGAGCACTTGCGATATATTGGCAACAAGTGGATACAACATGGCACCGCGACCTATCCCAATCGAAGGGCAGCTGTCTGTGTCTAACCGACCTGACACGGGGGAGATACATCTATATGAAATACTATACGTTCTGAAGAGGGGCGTCGGGAAAGGTGGCAGGGCGATATGTGCAAAGCCAGACTCAGAACGTACGCCGCTCCATGAAGGCATTCACCGAACTTCCTCGGGCGCTCGCTCATGCCGACTAGACGTCAGGAAGGACTAGGATGTGTCGGATGTGCGACAGAAGCAAAAAGAGAGTGATAAGCGACTCGTATCACGACTTCGGGAGGAGCGAAAAGGCATGAACGCGTCGCAAGTCGTCGGCGGAATGTCCTTCGCCGAGGCCACGAGCCTTGCCTCCTGGGGCTGGTTGCGCCCCCAGGACGGCGGGGGCGTCACCACTGTGACTCTCACTTCCGCTCCGGGAGCTTGGCTGGGTGGCGAAGAACTGCCATCGAACGACGTTACTCGACTAAGGCGGAAAACCAAGATGCACCCGACGCACCGAATATTTCCTCAAGCCTGCCAGTCTGCTCGTAGTGTGCTGTGGATGTGTGCGGATGGCCGGGATGGAGTGGATACCAGCAGCGTCTGCCATGTCGTTGCGCAGACTTTCACGAGCGTTCAGACTGGCGATCATGCAGATCGTATACACTGTCATCTATAGTTAGGGGTTGGTTGGGTTATGGAAAAATAGAGCACGCACGTCTTGTACCGATGTAGTAGAAGAACACATAGAAATTGGTGCCCTTCTTAGTGGTGATCTGCACCGTCTGAGCGTCAGCACCGATATTCTCGCGATAGATTGGTACCGTATTACCATGATGAGAGACAGAATAGCGCAGAGGCTACGTACACGTTAGCACGCGCGACGCTATCCCGGAGAATGTTGCGTATACCTAGTCAGGAATCCGGTGTTGATGGGATAGAACATCTAGAGTGGCCGTGATCTGAGCGCGGCAACTATGGAACACTTCGCGAGATAACTGCTCACCAGTCTGTTTATCAAGCGATTGTTCCTAGAAGGCATTGAGACTCGGGTAAGAGCGTGCCGAGCGATAGAACATACCTCGATCCCTTTCTCCTTGACATCAAGAGCAACACGACGAGGGTGATTGTGATGAATATGTCCGAGGCTGCAGTGACAGAACTCAGGGCGACATCGAATTTCTACGAGGCCTCAGCGACCAATCGTTCACTACGCAGGTTGAGGACGTACACTCAACGTTGGTAGTCCAGCTACAGAAACAATTATCAGGCTGTGCACGAGTCGTTCAGCACATATCTATGTATATAGTTGAGCTATTTCGGCGTACGTCTGAGCCATCAAGGCTGACGAATGTGATGTGTTAGCTGTGCCATTGTTGGATGTACATGGGCTGAACCTCACTTATCCCGAGGCCTGAGAAGCAGGTTAGCACCCGTCAATGCATGGCAAGCCTGCGGACGACGAACGTACCAAGGTTCGCAGCGGATACAATGCCCTGGGTAGAGTCTCAGGTCATCATAGCGAAGCAGATGCCAAAGTGAAGGCGCACCAAAACTATGACCAGGATAAGCTGCCTACTGACTGGAATCTCAGCAACGTTAGTGGCGTCTCGGGTTCGGTGAGTCTGTTCAACGCTCACGTCCCCAAATCCTATGCAGGTAGAATCTGGTAGGGATGAATAGGCGCACCAAACCTGAGACACATAGAGAGGCTCACACTTGAACAGCGGCAACCAGACAGGCCTGCAGGTATTTCGGATAAGATAAGACCGACGCGGGGATAAGATAAAGCTTACGTTAACGAGGATCTGAGCCTGTGAATGCGTGTCTGTAGAGTTTAGCTGCAGTATGGCAGTCTAGCGTCGGTTCACTTACATTCCCCGTCCTAAGCCCCGAACGACCCATGAGTGCAAGCTCCACGGGACACACGCATACACGCACCAAGGTAGCACGAGACCGCTGGCAGTGTTAGAACGCGCAAAGACGATGACCTGGAATACTGGTCGGTTTCAATTGCAAGGCCGTTGTGAGAGAAGGGTAATTAACGCACTGGTGTAGGCATAAAGGACGAGATGAAACAGATCCAGGCCCCAAACTAGAGGTACCTGCGTCATGGTGTCCGGCATGAAACTGATAATGGATCATACACGATCCGAAGCAACTTACAACTATCCTTAACAATAGTCTATCATGGCGCCAGTAATTTTGAATGTAGTAAACGAACTGAGAAGTCGCAACTGAAGGCAAAGTTGAGTTTTCTGTGAGCTTTTCATGAGTGCCCGCGCACGCACAGCCGAACAATCTGAAAGGTGTATATCCAATGTCAACGTTGGCGGGTGAATTACGATGAACGACTTACGCTCCGGTGATGCCGAGAGCCGAGAGCACAAGCCCTTGGCTATGAAGATAACACGGTCAACGGTGTTTCTGGAGGCATTAGGGCCGGTGGCGTGACTTACTTGAGATCCACGTCGCTCATACTAAGAGGACCTACTGGCACGACGCAGGGGCATGAACATGACAGGGGTCCTTGCGCTGCCGGGGACGTTTTGTACTGCGGTAACGTCCGTCTAGAAAGCGGGTAGGCCCTGGACCCCATTCGTGCGCCACAGGCGCACAGGGGAACCGACGCACCAGAGCGGTAAGTATCATGTACCGCGTGTACCGATCTTGCGGATGTTACAAATTGAGCCTCTTGGTTCGCTCTCGATCTATCGCGTACCTTGCCAACCTATGGCGATTCGCGATGGTGGCGTCGACCTGGTTTCTGGAAGTATTAATTCTCGGGACTCCTTACATATTGCGAAACCGGCTCGTCCTCTGCCAGGATTCGGTGATGGCGATTTACGGTCAACACTGAGTACTGAGTACCGAGGCGGCTGGTCCATCTGGGCACCCTCCTACACAGCAGGGTGCCCAAATTTGGTACCCCGTGAGAGAACTACCTTGCTCGCGCAGAGAAATGCTGACAGCTCAAGCGCTCTCGGTTGGGATGGTGTTTGCGGCTTTATCACATGCAGTTGATGATTCAATCTTAAGCATACTTCAGATGTTTCATCCTCGTCTAAGAGGGCGCGAATTCGACCGGTTTCCCCATCAAAATAATCCCTACTCCTCCTTGAGACTACCCTGTGATTCTCGTGTCCGTGTTCTACGACACGACTCCTCAGTCGCTGTTTTTGGGCGCAGATGAGCCCATTTGTGCCCGAAGATGAAAATTTAGGGCTCAGTGTCTCAGGTAGCGGGAGGTGGTGATACATTATGCACTCACTAAATAATACATGCATCTCTCGATATAATAATATGTGATTCCTATGCGACCACGAGTGGAAGGGCGCGTCGTCGGAAATTCTCGTTGAATAGGAGGGATTTTTACCCGAAGTACCAAATCGAGGTGGCGGAAGAGCGCCCACTTTGACCAGTCGCCCCCTCTTTCCGATCTCCGCTGATGCTTCCCGAACGACTGGTTCGAGTCTAATCCCAAATGTGCCCCCCGGTCGACGAGGCGATATGCTTACCCGAACATTGGTCCCCCAAAATGAAGCCATCATTGTATTAAGTAACCCCGTACATAGCGACCCCTCAGGCACGTCTGAACCAACAAATCGGAGAGTACGGTTAGCGTCGACGCTATGTATCCACAGCAGAGGAAGCTTGGTCTCGTACCCAGACGTATGGGTGTTACACCCGCACCCCACCACCGCGGTCATCCAGACGTCTGGGGCAGTTTGATAGAGAGGTCGTACCTCCCCCCTTTTTCAAATTCCCGAGCCCGCGTAGAATTCCTGTGGTGCCAAGCAGATTGCCCTGTCACAGGCGCAAAACCTAATGCAAAGCTATCCCTTGGGGGCGATTCACTCACGAGTCCTATCCTCAACACATCTACTGCAATTTCTGTCAAAGTGAGGGGTTCTACTACCAGTTTTACAGCTTGCAAGGCGATCGGGCTGCTCATCACAGCGCTTATCACGGAGCCTGGGCATGTAAGCGCGCAAGTTACTAGTGTGACCCCAGAAGCTACGGATTAAGCGCCTGACACCAGAAGCTACTGACACGCCTCCAGTTCTCGCATTTCCCTGTCAAAAAGTGTGCACAGGTTACACGCAAAAAGACGTACTTCCAAACTATCATTGTCTAAAAGAACGAAGGAAATCGGAAGGGATTTGCTCCCGATACAAGTCAATCTCAGTAGGGTTTCAAGGGTTTACTGACCTTGGTGAGCTGCCACAAAAAGATCTGCAGCGCCGATCTTTCTGTAACTTCGCAAAGTGTTCTGAACATTCTCAATAAACTTTGTTGTTGAGTCTCCGATGGGTTCCGGGTTGCAGTATTCGAAAGATAGGAAGAGGTCTCTTGAGCGTGACATTCAGCCACTGACCGAGATAAAGCTAACTTTCAATCTGAGCGCTTTGACAATGTTGCCCCGGCCAACTTCGCTATCAAATGACTGATAACAGCGGTGTTTCAATCGGCAGTCTTCGGCATTGTGACCATACATGACAATCTATGGGCGCCTTTCCGTCGTTTCTGGGGTCAGACGTGTAATTCCACGATGCTCGAAGCAAACTTACACCGATTGCCTTCATATTTTACAGGTATATACTGTCTAAGATGCAGACTAAGTGTGCCAAGTTCGAGATTTATGGGGGTAGATGCGAGGGAGATATGCACGAAGTACATTCTGGGCCGTCGCTTCTGGGGTCACACTAGTATATAGCTGCTCTACGACTGCCTATGGCTGTTGCCTTCGTAACCAGCTGCTCAACCCACATCATGTCGCAACGTCGTACTTATCTGTCGGATTTGCGAAGGCGCGATTTAGATCGGATGAAGACCTAGGAAAACGCACGTCCAGCCCGGCGGTATATACGAAATCCGGTCTGCTGCGGCCTGGATGTAAGTGGCGTTTGATATTTGGATCATACAAATGCATATAGGCGAGGAGTAAAAGACGGACCGTGAACCTCTCCGTTCGAACAAGTTAGCATTGAGAGTGATCACGGATCGCCAAGAGCCTTATGTGGCGTGGTTGTCAGCCTGTGGCTCCGCAGCCGGTGGCGGGGGTATCTGTTTGGTTGTACATATCAGAATTCCATTCCTAATCTGGTCCCTAACATTCCTCCCAGCGATGACCAGCGCCGGACTCAAAAGCATCGTGACCGCCTATAGTGAGAGGTCTTGGGCGCGCGTTATGTACTGCGGCCAATTTTACGGGGATGCTGATAGATTGATCGCTGAGCCTTCGCAATTTCTCCCAAGGTTCTAATATGTCGCATGATTGACCACCACCTCTTGGGTATGTAGTCACCGAGACACGAGCACTTGACTGCTCAGATACTGACTCGATAGGCCCCAACGGAGCCATGATAGACTGCAAGGTAACAGATAGTAGATTGGCTCGAGCGGATGCATCTATTAGCAACACGCCGGGGTCATTGATACAACAAGTTGCGTACACTGCTTTCGTTTTCTATCCTCCCGCTTGCATGCAGGTCCCCGGGCAGTCAGCGTTGAAGCAACGGACGACCATCAGTGGCCTCGATGTGGTTTGTCACGCCTCAGGCCTCAGGGGTCTGCGCCTTCTGACTCAACTCGGCCAGCTCCGCCTTGAGCCGCTTCAGCTCGTCCACAGCCGCAGCGACCTCCTTGTCGTTCTCCTCGCTCTTCGGCTTCGCCTTGAGCTCCCGCACGACCTGGCCCTGCTGCGCGATCTTCTGCTCCCACGCGAGGACCTCGGATGACTTGGGCGGGGCGTTCGCGGTGGCCTCCGCTGCCGCGGCCTTGTCCGCGGCCTTCTTCGCCGCCGCAGCCTTGCGCTTCGACATCCCGGGGACGACGTGCGTCGCGTCGGCTGCTTCAGCGAGCGGGGATGGTTCTTGTGGTTTGTTGCCGCCGAACTTATCGCGCCAGACGTCGGCCATCTTCTCGTCGATGCGCTTGAACAGGTGCTCCGGCGTGCCGATGGTGTGGCCCGCAAGGAGGTCATTCGAGAGCACGGTAGAAACGGCGCGCGGGGGTGCGTTGAGCTGCGCGAGGATCGCCGCTTCGGTCGAGGGCATGAACGGGTGGACGAGGGCGGTCAAGAGGTAGATGAGGTTGAGAGCGCGGGAAACAACCTGGGCGCAGCGCTTGGGGTTCTCGGTCATGAGCTGCTTGTTCAGGCCAGAGGACTGGAGGTATAGGTTGCCGCGAGCGGATATGGTCATGACAGTGTGCAGACCGGAGCGAAGCTTGACGGCGTCCATATTGTCGACGTACTCCTTGACTAGGGCGTTAATCTCTGTGATGAACTCGGCGTCGTTCTCATCGTTCGGTGAGTATGGCCCGGGCTCGTCGCCGCTGTCGGGGATCGTGCTCTCATACTGAGAGGCAACGAACTTGAGGGCGCGATTTACGAAGTTACCGAAGCTATCAAGAGGGTCAGTCGGTATAGCCATCAGCACAGTCTTGCGCTATGAGACGCACTTGTTCAAGAGCACGTTGTTGTTGGCCGCGATCTGATCCGCATGTCAGATGCTGGTGGCACTGCCAAATTGGACAGAGCGCTACTCACGCAATCGGCCCAAGAGAACATGGCGTCCGCCGTCTCCGGTCTTGTTGAGATTAGGTAGTACCTCCACACTGACGGTGGGATACCCGTCTCCCTTGCTGCAGGCCCAAAAACTCCACGATTGTGGCTCTTCGAGAATTTGCCACCTTCGTAGTTAAGGAACTCTATCGCACGGTACGTCAGATACTACACCCGACTAGCATGCGTCGAACAGACCCACCGGTGGTCGAGAGATGGTGAAGCATGGTCCAAGGGCGACCATCACCCAGCTGGATGGAGGGGAAGTAGATGACGTGGAAGTAGACATTATCCTTGCCCATGAACTGGTACAAGTTCACGTTCTTGTTGTCGAACCACCACCTCTTCCATTCAGAAGTGTAGTTTGCCGTGATGCTTGGGTAACCGATGCACGCGTCAAACTGGACAGGGTTAGCGTCTCGCGAAAAGGACTGTCGTCCAAGTATGGCTTACCCAGACATCTGCAACATAACATGAGTCGTCAAGATCACGCACATGGAAGATAAGATTCGTACAGAAAACTTTGCTCTCCATCCCTTCGTGCTCCTTGCCGTCAACATGGGGCACAGGAACACCCCACGTCAGATCTCGTGTGACCGGACTCGGTCGCAGGCCACCTTTCAGTCGCGCGTCGACGAGCTCCCCATCCCCGTTGATGACAGCATTCGGCGACCAGTGGCCCTTCTTCCACGACTTCCTGATCCATTCTTCTGTACGCGGCTGGAGTTCGTTGAGGCGGACGTACATGTGTGCCGTCGTGCGCGTCGTAACCTTGTGCGTCTTGTCGACGAGACAGCGAGGGTTGATGAGCTCGATAGCGTCGAGCGTACGACCACAGACGTCACACTGGTCTCCTCGCGCGTCCTGGAAAGTGCCGATATCAATGGAGAGCAACGTAGGACAGAACGCAGCAACTCACGTCGGCGCCACAGTGAGGACATGTCCCCTCCACGAAGCGATCTGCGAGGAATCTGGAGTTCTGTAAGTCAAGTTCTCTGGAGCATTCATGTCATACGCACTTGCTGCATCCTTCGCAATATGTCTGCTCCTTCTCCGCTCTCTCCAGGAAGTTGTTCTTAGCGAGATTCAGGTAGATCTCTTGACAGATCCTGGAGGTCACTATGAACGGACGAGACGCCGATTGTGGTATACAAATCTTACTCGGTATGCTTCTGCGTTGACGTTCGGCTGAAGATATCAAAGCTGCGATTGCCACGATAAGTCTGGGGTCACACAGGGTCTGCGTCGTGCCATACCTTAACTCGAACCACTTGTACGTCTCCACATGTATCGCGTTGTATTTGTCGCATAAAGCTCTAGGAGTGAGACCTTCCTTCAGGGCCTGTGTCTCCGTTGCGGTACCGTATTCGTCTGTGCCACAAACGTAGAGCGTTTTCCGATTGCGAGTGCCTGATTAGAAGTTTGAGCAGGCAGGCGATCGATCTCACTGGTGGGGAACCTACGGCTATAACTGTTGCAGACATGGCATCAGCATAGACTCATTTCCACGTGTGCACAAGCATCCGTACCGAGCAAAAACATCCGCGCTGAGCGTACTTCCAATGATGTTCCCTGCGTAGAGCTCGTTTGGAGGCCTATGTAAAAGGATACTTGCACACATACCGAGATGGGGAACATTGTTGCAGTACGGCAACGCAGATGTGATCAAGATGTTTTCTTCTCCAGGGACTGGGAGACTGTGCGATGACCGGTGAGGACCCCGCCGATCGCAAGACTCATTAGAACGCGCTCGTACATGGATTCCCCAGGCTTGGGTATCGCGCGTAACACGTCCTCCGCCTCGCGAATCTTCTGGACCATATTCTTCTATTGCTTCTATGCGATCTTGGTTGACCCAGTGGGCGATGAGAAAGTCAGGCGACAGGGAGGGGGAAAGCGACGGGAAGTATTGCGGTAAGTAGCCTGCAGCAAGTATGGAGAGATCCTATCTACCCGTCGCCTGACTCGATATCCCCACGTGCGCAGGCCGCATCGCCACCAGCCCGGGTTAGTCGGACTCTAGGCTCTCCGTTGGTGGTCGGATGGATGTGCGGTCGCTCTACTCATGGGCTCGGTCTGCCCTAATGTCATCTGGGCATCGAAAGCTCCCGGCCGAAATACGAGCGGTCGTGGCTGACAGCGAGGACGTCATGCCTCCGCCGTGATGGTCCCACCTTATCTAATCTTTCACCTACGAATATCAGAAGACAGTAGCCGACTGGGATCCTGGGTTAGAATGATCTGGATGGGCTGCTCTTTGCACTCTTTCCGACCGGACTCGTTTCACCAAGTAGCGGGGGAAGGCTAGGGACTGGGATATGTCACACACAGCCTTCTTCTATGGAACTCTTCTTCATCCCTCGATTCTACGGCGAGTGATCGGCCATGAAGGCAGCAGACTGCAGATATGTCCGGCACTGCTTCTTGTGAGTACACAATGAACGGAATGTGGTTAAGCAGCAAATTTGCCACCGTCCAGTCTCATCGTATGTCGTTGATGAATTTGCCCCATGTTCACTTCTATCATGCAGGAACATACTCGTCATAAGATACGAGTGAGTCCTGGAGATTGTCCTCGATTGCTTCGGGCTTGCGCTCATGGTGGATCAGCACGCAGACTATCCGGCGGTGCTGCCATTCGAGAAGAGCCGAGAGCTTTTCCTAACCTCTGGGCACACTGAACCTCCTGCGAACGAGCTGAACGTCCGAGGCAGCCTCGTGACAGGACTCAACGACAATGACATCGCCCTATTAGACCTCTTTGAAGGCGACGTACGTACACGGCGCTCCTGATTCTCCGCCCGAACCTGATGGACGCGTCCTTCCTTCTCAGGAATACACACGCGAGAATGTACTCGTTCACCCCTTAGGACCTCTGACCTCCCTGTCGCACACGCCTCCTCCACGCACAGCAATTCCAAACATCGGCTCTTCCCCCTCAAACGCCGCTACCGACGCCTACATTGTGCCGCTGAGAGCCCCTGAGCTCCCTCCCCTCGACGCTCTCCCGCCACCACTCCCCGCGCAAACTTACATTTACGCGGGGCCTCTCAGAGACCTTAGCCCAGAGCTTTGGTCATACGAGGATTTCGTCCGGGAAAACGCGTGGAAGTGGGTCGGGACGGGAGCGCGTGATAACGAGTACTACGTCGAGGTGGATAGGCGGCGGGATATGGATGGCAAGACGCTAAAGACGGAAATCGTCGACACCGGCAGCGTCCCGGGATCGGACGAGGTTGGTGAAGCGGTGGCGGTAGAAATACAAGGTCCATGATGCGACGAATCATCTGTGTAGGTGTACATGCAGAATACAATGGGAGCATGTGGCTCAGTGGCGGGATCAAGAACGAGCTATTTGCGGTAGACGGCCGATACTCGGAACAGCCGGTAGCATATCTGGCGGTCGTCTCTGGCGCGGCCCATGTGTTATTGTGGGCCTCCGTGATTGTGTTTGGTTGCATGCCCTTAGGAATATAAATATTGCATGGGTCTGATATATTGACAGAGCTCCTACACACATTTATAGGCAATCCTATGGGTTTTACACGGTACATAGCTAAGTTGTCAGCGCATTCGTACAGACATGTTAGAGGGAAAGCACAGAGAAGGACAAGCAGAGATAGCTGGATAACGGTTTAGAACGAGGGGAACAGATTTCACGGACAAGATTTGCTACTTTGTACTGGAGACGAGAATGAGACGGAGAGCATATGCAAGAGATTCTAGAGCGGTCTGAACAAGAGGCAACGCTGAGAACAAGGGGCTAATCAAGACAAGCGGCGCGAAGGATAGCGTAAGAGCCGTGACAGGGAAAACAATGGCACGTAGATCGAGATAGACTAGCAGTAGATTGGGAAAACATGGCTTATTGTTTCGCAGAGAGAGTGGAATAGCGGGGCAAACAGAGAGGAAAAGCGGCAGATAGCTTGACACGCCCGAGAGCGACATCGATAATGACGAAACTAGAGTTTGGGGTTCGATATCAGAAAAGACGAGAAGATCATAGGCTGTCATGTACGTGATCATGAGGGGCTTCGTGTATGGGGAGCATCGATGTTCTGGTTCTATTTCCCAGACGCACTGGGCTTTGTTCTGGTGTCTTCCGGCGCAAAGCACAGTGGTCAGGGCGTCTTGATGACTGGAACCAGGAATTTTATCCCCGCGAGCGCGACGACTCCGAAGAGGAGCTAGCCCGGCGGCCGCTATGGGACGGGCCCTGCACGAACTGTTGTTGCTGTTGCGGCATCAGGCCCGACGGGCCGGCCCCAGCTTGCATACCATGCGCACCATATCCCCTGCCCGACACGAACCGGCCGCTATTATCCCTGAACTGCTCCGAACCTTGAATCGGGGGCAGTAGGTGATAAGATGGCGCGAGACGCGCATCGTGTTGCATCTGAGAGGGCGGAGAAAGATTGTGGGCGCGTGTGAGCGTGGGACCTGTGTTGCCGCCCATGCCTCGAGAGTGCGGTAGCGGCAAGTATAATTGGCCTCCTTGGTAGGATTGGCTGGTCCCAGCCTGCCATCCAGACTGAGGCGCGCGGCCGCCGCCCATGGATGGTTGTCCAAATGTCACGGAGTCAGGCGCAGGAAGTCCGAGCGACGGCTGACCAAACGAGGGCTGATTGAGAGTGGCGGATAGCTGGCGCGAACTTTTGGCACTGGTCTGGGCGGGCAAGGGGGTCATGTCCACGGCCTGGCGCGCGTGCCGCCCTTGAGGGGGAAACTGTGGCCCCTGCATGTAAGGAGAATTTCCCCGTCTAGCCATGCGTGTCGCTGGGCGAGACGTCATCCGTCCTTGGCCGACCTGGTGTCCCTGAAGCAGGGGATCGATAGGCACGTCTTGGGGCGGCTGCGAAGGGGAGGGGAAGCCTTCGTCCTCCTCCTGGGAGCTCTCAGCCTCATCCGGCGGAGGCAATCCTGCCGCCTCAGCTTCCGCACGAGCACGCAGCTCCGCTTTCGTCGGTCGCTTGTTACGCTTGCGGGGCCGCTTCGTGCCTGCGCCGAGGGAATAGTCCACGACCCAGTAGCTGCCTTTCCCCGGCTCCGTGATGGGCTTCTGGATCCTCCGGAAGCACTTGTAGAGGGAGAGATTGTGTCGAATGGAGTTCTGCGGATGGATGTGGGTCAATGTGTAAGGCGGGTGCACACATACACCGACAATGATAACGCACCTGCCACGACTTGTCGTCTTTGTTGAGAGCGAACCATTCAAACCTCTCCTCTAGCGCCTGATAGATTTCTTGTAGAGTCAACCGTTTGTTCGGGCTGCCGAGGATGGCCAACTGAGAGAGCGTAGGGATTGATTGACCAGGGCGTTGACCGGGGGCCGGGTCAGGGAGAGCTCTGAGGCTCAGCTCCTGATCAGGACTGAGGCCGAGAATCCTTCGCACTTCGGCATCGGAAGTCGGAATGTAAGCGTCGTCGCCAGAACGAAGCGGAGAGTTCGACGAGCTGGCGAAGGCGTACGCGTCCTGGGACTGTGGCGCGGAGGGGGACGGGAGATGAATACGCGTTTGCCCGGGGATGACGGCGTCGTGCCGCATGTCCCGGTCAAAGGGGTGCTCATCTGACTGCATGGGGAGTAGCTGTAGCTCGGGGGAAGGGAAGTTTGGCGGCTGGGCGGGCTCGGGTGAATCTATTCCCAGCGGAACCTGAGGCATGCCCACAGATGGGTACGTGTGCGTGCGTGGGCGGTAGTAGGCTTGGTCTGGTTGGCGGGGGTCCGTGCCGATGCGAGCGTGTTCCATACCAACCCTACGGAAGTTCTCGTCATAGGCAGGGTAGTGCTCAGGATTGTAGCCGGGAATGGGGCCAACGCGCTGGCGAGGGGGAAACGCGTCGCCCATATCAAAGACGGAGTGTTGAGGGGGTGTACCGTTGCTTACGACGCCACTCGACGCGCTCCCTTGGCTACTAACACTCATTCCGCCGCTCTGGTCACTTCCCCCGCTCCCATTCGACCCCGTGGGGCTACTCTCGCCACTGCGCCGCTGGAAAGTAGGCTGCGGTGTGCGTCAGATTGAGAAAACTCTTGATCAGATAAGAACATGGTGTGCGTACCGGGTACATGTTCGGCGGTGACATCGACGGAGGAATATTGGCGTCGAAAGGTTGAACAGTGGGGTCATAGAGCACATCGGGGCCAGGTTGTACGAAGGTGGAGGCTCGGGTAGTGCTGGATGAGCCTGGGGGTACGTAGGGGGAGTCGTCCACGTAAACTGTGGCGGGTTGAGGTTGGAGACGAGTGTGAGGGTAATGAGGCGGATTTTGGACCTCATACGCCGGGCGGGAGACGCCGAAGACCGATGGAGGGTGATCGGTCGGGTGGGAACGCTGCGAACCACTGCCATCGTCGCCAGATCGTGAATCAGAGCCAGAGCTCTGGTGACGACTTTGGGGGTCTGGAAAACTCGCAGAGGACGGCAATGTAGCAGAAGTGTTTGTGGTGAGCGCATAGAAGCGCCTCAGAGAAGCGTTTGTGTCCATCTTTGGTAATGGCCGGATACGGGAAATCGCGGGTGCTGGTCAACGTGAGAGCCGGTAAATCGCTCAGAGCGCCGAATGTATACTCCCCGTTTCGGCGAAAAAGAGAGGGACGGTCTGTGCGAACCGACAAACAGAGCGTAAATCTGTGGGCGTCGGTGGGTGTACCCTGGGGAGGAGTGCCAGCGTGGGCGTCGGGGAGGACTCACCATTGTCTACATCATCTTCTTCTCTTGACTAGCATCATATTGTGGGCGAAGAGAAAGGAGGGTGCGCAAGAGGTCAGGTTGCGCCGAGCTGTCTAGTCTCATCACTGTGCCACTCGGTGCCTCCCGGCTCTCCTTTATCCTCGGTTACACGACCCTGTGCCTACAAAGCATGTTTGATATCCGCCACATGCACTAGGGCGACAGCAGGATTTATTACGCCGTCTCGTCTCCCGAGGACTGCAATCGCGGTCCTTCCTCGCAGGCTCCAATAAGGCAAGTGTCCCTACACGTACCGTTTGCTTGCACCAGAGACGAAGACCGCTACTCTCTTACAATCCATCGAAGAGGAGTCTATCGAGTGTGCAGATGCGCACACTCGATAGACTCCTCCTTTGCATGGCTGAAGTGAGAGCATGGCAGTTTGGGAGCACGCACCTTGGCATCGCAGATCTTTTGCTGGAAGGCGTCTGACAAGCGTCCAGTCTGTACCCGCAGGACACAGCTGGCGACAGTACTTCTGGATTTTTTTCTAGGCTAGACCCGCGCCGAACGGGTCGGGACAATATCTCTTGAGACGTCGTGCCCCTGCCGCAGTACTGCATTAGACGCCGAGTCCGCTGCACCAGGACCAGGCTGAGTGCCCTACGGCCGGCGGGCCGATAGATTTCCTATAGGACTTCATCGGCGTGTATAGCCATGGCCCAGTCACCTGGAGGCACCAGGGATGGGGGGATGGAGCAAGCTGGCGAGGGGTGGATGGTAGGGGAAAACAAGCATAGGTGGTGCAGGCGTCCGCACATTCCGCGAGTGTGACGTTCTAACTGCTGCACAGCATTAGTTCCGGTCTTCCTCCTTTCTACTTCTATAGCTATGAATCTTGCTCACTGGCATACTTGGTCCTGGTCGCTATGCCCGGATCACCACAGAGGGCTCCCTGGGACGAGAATCTGGTGAACCGGCCTCCGTCGCGTCGCCCGGATTATACTGCTTCCCTCTCGTTTTTGCTTGGGCCTTCCATTGCGGTCGCCTTGTGTAGGGCTGCCCACTTCACCGCATATATGCGGCCGTATCAGTGCGTCGACCCAATGTCGCTGCCTCCTGGCAACCTAAACCGCGAAGGGTCTCAATGTATGGTAATCTTGCGCTTTCCCGTGCAGAATTTGTCTCGGCGAGGTTCAGGTGAGTTCCTTACCCATTGCCGTCTCGACCCCGTCCCATTACCATTCTATCAACTCGTGACAGGAAGCTGCTCGCCTCCAGCTTCTCCCTTGTGACCTTGTCGTGCAACCGGGACTCCCCCGCCCCGCCTATCACTAGTACATCATTATCCTCCCTATCCCAAGTCTTTAGCCTATGGGGCATAACTTCACCGTCCTCGATACATCAAGCCGAATATATGCGGTACACAATCCGACTTAGCCCGTACGACGGCCTTTTGCGTTGGGATCAATCACACCGACAGGAAGCTGCAACGCGACGCCTGACCACGAGGACTATCAGCCTATACAACCACGGGTGAAGATGATGCACCTCCTCTTTCGAACTGCATCCTCGAACTTAGGTTGATGGCAAACTGAGTACAGGATATCTGGTGAGCACATATTTCCAATGTCATCTTGAACGTCTGCGCGCACAATCCATAGATTGCCTCCTCCATGAACCTCCCCCCCCCTTCGTCATCATGACTCCATGTTCATTCTGTACACGTGGTGCTACTTGTCGGTGTTCTGTAAGTCTTCGTTTATCATTGCGTTTCTTCCTCTCGCGCTGGCGGTTTGCACATGTAAACCCTCTTAAGCCAGACCTAGTTACCGCGCGCGATCCCGCCCCAGTGGGTTTGGGGTCATCGGATGTCACGGCCTAGAGAGATACGAGGTTCAATCTACCTGTCTTTCAAGTTTGAAGGACCAAACTCCATTGGGGAGGGAGCGCGCCCGCGATAAGTAGGTCTGGGTTAAAAGGGTTTCTACTGTAACTTTGATGCCAGTCGTGTACTGTACTATAGAATGAAGTATTGATTACAGTCTCTTCGCCGTACTAGCACGGAGCACCCGTTGCATCCACTGTACCTTAATGACAGAGCATATATGTATCCCAAACCAGAGACAACGCACATGCGGCCACTTTCCTCGGTCGACGCCATCCCACAGTGACCTCAATGTGCATTAGCGCCCTTACATTCGGCCGTCGTGGGCATCGAACACTCAAGCACATGTGTACTTCAGCCCACGAACGGTCAAGTTGACATGATGGAACATCAAGCAGCAGAAACATCATGCAACACATAATCTACACGAACTAGAACCTTCAAACTACAGCTAATAAATGAACCTTCTATTATCTGATGCACCGAGATTCCAGTCGACTGACTGGTCCCAAAGGCACCTCAGAAATAAGAAGGGAAATCCCCCGACGACACAAGCCGGTAGTGCAGTGGCAAGGTCATCGCGTCCCCGCGTTGCAAGCAGTGCACGGGGAACAAGGGCTGCAAAAATTAGATAACCAAAAATGAAGGCGGTGCCTTCATAATAGTGGTTAAACTATTAAGAACAGATACTACACTTGATCTAAGCCAAAAGGCCAGAGTGGTAAGGAAACAACGATGCCAGGCGGGGGTTGATATACCCAGCGGCGAGTGCGCACGGACCAGGTGGCGGCGCGTGTTATGCGCGCGCAGGTCTCTTCACAGGTGACAGAGCCCAGCGGCTCCCTCGACCAAGACCGACCTCGCGTAGAAGTTGTCAGCGTGGATGTTCTCGGGATGGCCTCTGATACACCTGATAATTGATGGCGCACTAAGACCTGTCGATTTGTCGGGGAAAAGTCAATCGCCGTCGCCCATCTTGCGCATGCGTACATTGGCTCCTGTGTATACATCTTTGAATTTCAATTCGCCGTCTTCCAAATTATCATTTCTGCGCGTGCGAGGCCATGACCTTGCAGCTACGTTTCGCGTTCTTACCTCGTCCACACGATAAGCGGTGTGCCACCCAGCGCTCAGTAAGCAACCCTCATCATTCATACCGCAGTAGGATGGAACCATTTGTGATGTTGCAAAGTCCCGTGGACGCAATCTATCAAACGTTGGGCCACCCTGAATCCCGGATATGGCCATATGTACCGTATGGGTCGGCAAGGTGTCGACGGCGCACGAGAAATACGCGTTCATCTAAATTGACCTCTTCGGCACCCACACGTTGTCACGGATGAGGTGCATGGAAGACCACGGAGTTTTTCCCGCTCTTCCTTGCCCTGGCCAATAGCCCGGAGCGTATCGAGTCTAAGACCAGAGCACCAAGGGTCCTTCTTGTCATTGAGGTGCAGCTGCATACGGCAGGGACTGCTACGTGCCCCTGCAGCTCACGATGGCGGAGACGGAATGTGCTGTATCACATGTTGGCAGGTCGGTGACAGCGAGCCGACGACTCGGAATATGGTCCTATGGCTGCGCCGTAAGTTGCACGCGTCATGTCCGGATAAGCCGTGTTGCATTAGGACATTAGAGCCCACTTACGTACGCGATGCAATTGGATAGACTACCATTATATCGGCGCTGTCCGGCAGGCTACTGAGAGCAGCGACCACGGCGTGGGCGCAGTTGCGCATCCCAGGGCCTCGCTTCTCTTCCGTCGACGCTTCCCCAGCCCGTCTCATAGAGCTCTACATCCATAAAGGCGGAGCGGACAGGCCGTTCCGTGCCTCCCAGAATCCGTCCTCTCTTGTCACGGAGGAGCCCCCTCCCACCTCCCCATGTAGCCATGGCCGATCCGACTGGCGTCGATATAGACCTGACGTGCGTATACTCACAACACTTGAGATCCCGCACGCGTTCGCTGACTGCATCGTTGCAGGCTGGGTGTCATCTTGGTAGGTCTGATAGTGACAGCAGGGTGCGTTCCAGCGATGGAGATCTCGAATGCGAAGGCGCTGCTGACATCGGGTCCCCGGGTCCTCAAATAGCTTGCTTGGCGGTATGTCCCCTGCGCCACAATACCAAGTTTGTATCTTGAGTTCTTCGTGCGCCAGTCACGACTGCGCAGTCCGGGTCCTATTTCGTGCACTTTCCCCAGGATCGACGGGCGCTGAAGATTCTGGTACGTTTAGGGTCGAAGGAGGGATATGTCTTCGTAACGCTCAACGAACACCGACTTCACTAGGTCATCGCGGTGTGGCTCCTCGATGTCACGCATCTCGGTCTCTACCTGTCCACGAGTCTGTCTCATGAACCCATCTTCTCCATGACCATCTCGCTGATGCTCATAGTCCAGTGTATACCTATCTTGTCAAGAAAGAGGGTCTGCATTTCGGTCAAAAGCCTCTCCCCTGGTGAGTCTACCATTGACTATCGTATCATGCCGATCCTCAACCGGCGCTGTAGGACTGCAAATGTGAGTCTGCATATATAATTACTAGGCGAAAGTCTGAGCCGTGTCTCCACAGGCTCAATTGCTAGTGAATGTACACATCTCACGAGTCGTATCTTGTGCCCGGTCCGTCTTGACATTTCCCGTCCACAGGCGTGTGGTATCAGCCTAATTCAGTCGTGAGTTCTTCTAGTCATACTGCTATCTCCCAGCTAATCATGTTCCAAGGTTCTACGCATCTCGCATATGGCAACGTATGTTCGATGCCTACGGACTATCTCCGAGACGAGTATCTTGACAACGCGATAGTTAGCAGGATGAGGCTGCTACTTGTGATCATGGGGTTGTTTATTGCGACGACATGGCGTGAGTCATCAATGGTTGCTTTGTAGTCTTTCTCTAACCTGCAGTCTTGATGCGCAGTCCTATCCTTCGGTGAGCTCGCTTTGATGAGATGACATCACCATAATCCCTGACCTCACCTTCGCAGTTCTATTCGTTAAGACGTACGTCCACACACGTTCTCTGCGAATTGTTGATTGATATTCCTCACCAGTATCACGACTAATACCGTGGCGGAGTACGTCCATCTGGAAGTGCGTAGACGTTCTACGCTATCATGAACGCCAAAATACTAACCGCAGAATCGTAGCCTTACGACATTACCATGAGTGCTATGACTGCATCCACGGACGTGCTGCTGTGTGGCGCGTTGGTCGTCTTGCTGACGATGTTCCGTAAGGATACCCAGGGGTGCGTGATTATCTCACATGCATGCGACGTGAGGGAAACCTGACCTCCGAACCTTTAGGGCGGATCGTCTCATCAACCGGCTGGTCCGTAGCATCTCCCGATCATGGTCGGCCGAAGCGAATTGACGTTCACATAGCTCATATTCACCGTTAATACTGGCTTGCTAACTAGGTCAGTTTTATCATCTCCAGCCACCTCTTCTGTCTAACCGTTTTCAGTGTCCATGCCATCATGTCTGTAATCATGGTATGGCTAGTCGTCGCATCTCGCATCTTCCAGAGCGTGTCCCGACCGACCCTTCATACGTGCAGGTCGTCTCCCTTCCCCAGACGTCTCTATTCGTGATGTTCTACTACATCGGCACACGACGTGAGTATCCATAGGGATGTTCTTGAGATCTTCAGCTGAAACAGACAAAAGTGTATTCAGTCTCATTGTTGGCCACGCTCAACGCTCGCATCGAGCTCAGAATGCAAGCCGAGCGCATGGGAGATCGATCGCTTCCAGAAATCCCAGTGACAGCCCCGCCCCTCGGTCTCACGAACAGGAAATCATCACAAGCACAAGCGACCGTGGTGAGCGTCTCCTCGCCGTCACTTCTTCCAAAGCCTGGCCCCTGAACATAGATATCTTCAGCTTCGCCGAGGCGACAAATCCGACATCCTAGTGACCATGCCTTGCAAGTCGGAGACGGCGACGATCACAACAGGCGATGGGTCGAATCCGACGACGCTGAATCCGGCGCCACCGCGAATATTCTGCGAGGGCAATCGATGCTACGTCGTTCCGGATGGGGAGTTCAAGTCGTTTTGGACACCAGACTTCCTTGCGGACTCGGCTCCCGTTCTGGCTCTCAGTACATAGCACTTCATCTGACGTAGCTCGCCACGTTCCCTGACATAATGTACCTCGTGCCGCGGTTTGTGCGGGCACAAGGATGGCTTTCCGTGTCCTGTTTACGTTGAAGGAGCGCGGCTGCTTGTCGTCCCACCCTATAGGTAGGACCATCAGATAGCTGTTTTATTCCCCATAAGGAAGTACTGAAGTCGCTCGACAGCTGGTCAGGCCCACGACCAGGGTTGTCGTTGAAGACCCCCATAGCAGGTCCTCAGACCAGACATCCTCCGCCCACCGCCTTCCGTTTACCGCCCTTAGAGGTGCGTTCTTGATTGCTATTTGACATACTCGCGAAAACACTGTTATTTACGAGTCCTGGCTGATACACCAGGGCGGGGCGCTTCGGGAAAGGAGTTCGGGGCCTTGGTTCCTAACATGTACAAACAGCTGTCAATGGAACTGTAGCAACGCTTGGCCTCATGTTCACTTGTGTTCCATTCATGATCGTCTCGCAAAATTGGCGGCTTAAAGACTGCTCCGTCCCGCACGCGTCCCTCCCGCCCTGACAACCAACAAGCTCAATGGCGTTTACGTATGCACCCGACTTCATCGTGAGTGCTCGCATACGTTATTGATCGCTTCAATTGTGCATATGTATCATTTGCGGATAGATTACGCACAAGCGTAAGCGCTCTCGCCTGCATGCTGTCGATCCCTGCCTTGGATTTTACCCAGAGGCGTCCTCATCGTCGCAGGGTGCTCAGCCCTTCAGCCCGCGGTTGACCTTGGGTACGGCTCAACCTCCGATCTCCGTACCTGCTGACGACGTTGCCGGGCTCGAGGCTGCGCATATATTCAGTCAGGGTTCCGCGGTCCCACAATTAGACTTCATCGCCCATACCCGCCCCTATGGGACCACAAAAATAGAGGACCCTAACGCCACAGAGAGTGATCAGGGACGCGACTGTATCGAAGGCCGCGAGGATGTTGAAGCCCCGCTTACCGTGGAGGCCTTCTTGAAGAGCGCTGCCATCGCTACCAAACGCTACCGTCCCCGCCGTAGAAAACGGAAAGCAGCGACTCTTCACGCTTCAGGAGACCACGAGGGGGATGGCGCAGCTCTTGGCTTCTCGGCGTGGAAACCGGGCGATGCAGATCACTGCGACGCACACCAGTCTGAACGCTCTTCTTCACCTGGACCTCCGGGCCGCCGCATACGGCAGAAACATCAAGCCGGAGGGACTGCCAACGACGAGTATACACCGAGCGAAGACTTCACAAAACAGCAAGCCCGGAAACGGAGAAAGTCATTACCTGCGCGACTTCTTACTGCCGCTGTCGCAACTGGCGTCGACGTTATCGGCGGCCTTCTCTTTCCCGACCCTGCCGAGGCGCATATATCCGCTCAGAAGCCGCTACACCTTGTCCCTGGGAACCATACACCATCTCCGGTCGACGCCGTGAGGTCTCGCCGTCGCCGTTTTGTCGACCCTCGTCGCGTAGCACCGTTTGGCCGGGCAGTTTCCCAGTTTGCGCCGAATGTTGGCCCTGCAATCCAACAAGGGGTGAAGGAGAACAAACCCATCACCAGCTGGGGACCGAACGCTTGCAATTTCGAGCTCCCTCCGGGGATTGGGGGTGGAAAGTTTGTTGCCGTTTCGGAGACCTGTTTTGCACCTCCTCCGCTCGCCTTGGTCCCAGCGACGCATCCACAGTCGGCCTATCGAGCGCAGTCAGTCAAACAGTTATTCATTCGACTACTGATTTCAACTACTTTATGCAGATGTACTACCATCATTAATCGGGGTCGCCCGGTGCCCAAACGAGTGAAGAACAAAGTGCTCTGCAGCGGTGCCCTCGTCCTCCCCCACAGTAGACCGTCCCCACCAATACCCCCTTCGACATTGCCAGTGTCTTCCGACCTGGCTCGCCCCGACTCCGATCCGATTCTCTCCGTCAGCAATTCTTCGCAACCTGTTCTATTCCCCCCTGATGCTCTGGTGCTGCCTTCGGCCGATCTTGTATCTCAAGACAGTGACAGCTGCGAGCGCGACGCTCAGAGCATCGTCGAGGACTCGGCAAATGTTACTCGCGCTCCCTCTCCCAGCATGGTCTCGCTCTCCGACAAGCAGCCTCTATTGTCCTTCCCGTTGTCCGCTCTTCCTGCCCACCAGCATCCACGTGAATCATCCCTGGCTTCCTCGCGTGGACAGGACCCGCCGATTGCTCTGCTCACAGTCGCTCCTAAGAAACCTCTGAAGTCACTTGGCTCTCTTCTGGACGGCTTACGCGAGATCGCGCGGAATGCTACACAGCTGGCCCTCTCGTCTGAGAATTCACGGTCGGCACGTCCTCGCCCAAACACTTCTTCTGGGGCTCACGGTCCTCTCGGTTCTACGCTCAGCTCTAGTGCGCGGCCGCGCCCTTCGACTGCTTGTCCGCTGTCTGCTTCTCGCTCCGTCTGCGCCGCAGCCCATCCTCCTCCACACGCTCGGCTTTTGGAACCTCCCCACTTCCCCCATGGTCTCGAAGGGGAAGAAAATACTCGCTGCGTCGGTGGACAGCCCGCTTCCTCCATGGACATAGGGACCGGCGGTCCTGTCGACACCCTCAATACAGAAGATGGCCCCTCGCGAATGAACCACATTGACCTTTCAGCTGTCTTCGAGTCAAGGATGAGCAAGGTTTTGCACTTACCCTCGAGTCCTCTGCCTGTTTGGGACGTACTTCCTTTGTCGCATCCTGTGACATTGGACGAGGATGATGTTTGCTACTAGATAGTGATTAGCACGCGACGTACCAAGTGTCCGTGGGCCCACTTGTCGCTCGTTTATATAATGGATCATTTCTTGAAAAGTATGTGGTCCGGCATAGAGGATGTGGAGGCTGCGCGTGGAGGCAAACTTTGGGGCCGCGGGCCATGAGCGGTCCCGCGTGCAAGGATGTAATCGGACGCCGGCCGTAGCGCCTATGTACGGATGCTATTATGCACTTCACGTGAGTGCAGCGAATACAGCACTTCGCGCTACATGACCGTCGTATAGGTCTGCCTTCTTCCTTCATATCCGTCTACTGCTTCCCCTCTGTCCGTCATTATTGTACTCGCCAGTGGCAATTAAGCATACGACACAATGTGGAACAACTACCCCGGGCAGCAGGGCGGCTATCCGCCCCCTTCGGGTCCCCCGCCGCCAGGCGCGCCTGGGTCAGTATACCTCTCATCCGATCTCTTGCAATGCAATGACCACTTACGCTCTATTATATTCTTCAGATTTGGCTTCCCTAACCCGTAAGCATTATTGCGCACTATGCCATTCCTCAGAGTTGAGAGTAGACTGTGATCTCGGAAGCAATCTGCCGTCGCCGAGCCCCGGCTACAATCCCGGCTACGCACCAGCCTATGGCGGTCCGCCTGGGGGGTACGTGGGCATATGTTGGATGAGCTGAAGGATTCGAGAGGTAACGTCTAGTACTTCCAGTTATACTCCCCCTCCCGGACCTCCGCCACCGGGCGGCCATCACCACCATCACCACCACCAACACCACCAAGGAGGCGGGTTCATGCCGCCCCCGGGCCCTCCTCCTGGTTATGGTGGCCCTTCTCCTGGCTATGGTGGACCTCCTCCCATCCCCGGTGGTCGGCCTGACGGTGGTGGGTATGGACCTCCGTCTGGTCGTTCCCCTGCACCTCCTTCATCCTACGGCGACTACCAGCCACCGGGTATGTTCCGTCGCATTATTGCCCTGTAACGCCTCTCACTGCTCTGGTTAGCTGGACCTCCGCCCCCACCGCCTTCCCATCAGCAGCAGTATGGGCCGACGTTCACGGGGCAGGATAACCAACAGCACCAGCTGTTTTACCAGTACTCGCAGTGTACCGGGAAGAAGAAGGCACTTTGTGTATGCGCATCCTTTGCATTTTAGAATCTATGTGCAGGGTTTGATTTTGATTCGCTCAGGTTGGGATCAATTACTTCGGTCAATCGGCAGAGCTGAAGGGCTGCATCAACGACGCCCGGAATGTCACGCGTTTCCTGCAGGGTAAGTCGCCATTTGATACCGTAGCATACGCTACATTCAGTTGTTGAAGACGATTGCGCAGAGCTCTATGGATACCGAGAGGAAGACATTGTTCTCTTGACAGATGACGCCCAGAACCCCCGTCAGATCCCGACCAGGGACAACATCGTGAGTCTGTCGTTCGCCTGTACTGACCGGCGCCTCACCACATCCCCGCAGATTCAAGCCATGCAATGGCTGGTACGCAACGCGCAACCTAATGATTCCCTTTTCTTCCACTGTGCGTTGGCATATTGTGTTCTGTGTCTCAATATTTAAATAGAGGGACAGACTCCGGGCACGGTGGGCAGACCAAAGATTTGGACGGCGATGAGGCAGATGGCTACGATGAAGTCATCTATCCCGTTGACTTTAAGCAAGCAGGTCACCTGGTAGACGATGTGAGCTCAGTGATCACCCTCTCTCTTGATTTGCTTCCTCATATCCGTTTCAGACTATGCATGAGATCATGGTTCGACCTCTTCCTCCAGGTTGCCGCTTGACCGCAATATTCGACGTATGTTCCGAATCGTGCACGGTGCTGAGCTATGCCACTGACTTTCATCGTCATGTAGTCTTGTCACTCGGGCTCGGTTCTCGGTGAGCATGGCGCACTGATTCTGCCGCATAAGTACTGATCTGGCCGTTTCTCTAGATCTGCCGTACATTTACTCAACGGAGGGTAAGATCAAGGAGCCCAACCTGGCCGCAGAAGCTGGTCAAGGTTTGCTATCGGCTGTCACCTCATATGCACGTGGTGATATGGTGAGTCTTCGATGCTAATGCATCCTACGCAGCTCACTAACGTTGCATGCACTTGCAGGGCGGAGTATTCTCATCTGTCACCGGTCTTCTTAAGACAGCGACTGGAGGGACTCAGCGCGCAGAGCAGAAGACACGCGCAACGAAGACGTCTCCTGCGGACGTGGTGCGTGTTTGGCCGCCTATCTACGTGGATGATAACCTCACGGCTTTCCGAACAGATCTCGTGGAGCGGTTGCAAGGATTCGCAAACGAGTGCGGATACATTCGAAGCGGGTCAGTCGACTGGCGCGATGAGCTATGTGGGTCGCCCATTCGCTCGCAACCCCAGTATCTCGTTCTAACGATCTCCGCCCTCAGGCTTTCATGACATGTCTACGTAAGCTTCGCTGTGGTTGTCTCTTATGCTTTCCACTGATCATCGGTCATTCAGGCCAGAACCGGCAGCAGAGCTACCAGCAGCTACTCACGAACATCCGGTAAGCAATCTTCTCTGGAGATTCATTACGAGACGGGGAGCTGACGATCGCGCGCATCAGGGCGATCCTGAAGCAGAAGTACAGTCAGAAGCCTCAGCTCTCGAGTTCTCATCCTATGGTGGGTGCTGCGCTTGCGAATGTGGCGTTATCTATCGGTGATGCTGACGTACTGTTCCGTAGGACGTGAACCTGTTATTCATTTGCTGATGCATCCCTCGCTTAAACGTCAATGGACGCTTGTAGAACCTCTTGTACTATATGTCGAGCATCCAATTTGTGTTCAGAAATATGTCACTCGTGAATGTTTTTGTAGTATCATCATAAGCCCATGATATCATTGGTGACGAGAGCTCTTTCGCAAGCGACGTCTGTGTGGGGACTGACGATCCTGAGGTGTTCTGCCGCCGGCAGAATAGCGCGACGTCAGCGGTGGTCGGCCGACGGCCGCTAGCTCTTCTGAATACGGAAAAGCGTTCGATCGACATTTCTCCACAATATTCGCCCATGCGCCTCGCAATGGTGTGTTCATGGGGCGCTATTCGTCCAAGCAGAATACCCGGCCGGCTGCCTATCGCTCTTCTCAGCGTCGGCCGGCCCAGGGCATGACCATGCAGCTTGGCCTCGGAAAAAGTCTCGGTCGTAGTTGAGACTGGTTTTGCCAGCTGAATCTCTTCGAGGGGGACGCATTCTCATGCATGTATACATATCCCCGAGCTGTAGAAGCTCCTTCAAGTTAGCGTTATGTACTACGCCGTCGTCGTACCGTGGCTGGACGCTGGAACGCTTACGAGCGGCCCGGGATGAGGCCGGAGCGCGGTACCGCGAAAGTTGTCACTTGTGGCGCTTCTTTGCTCTTACCTTGTTGGATCACATGGCCTACATATATTGCAAACAGTTCGTCGTTTGATAGGCCGACTTTGACTATGGCTGCTCAGCCACCTTTCCTGGGCTTATGACCATTCGTACCCGACCGTGGTCGTGATATGTTCGATGGCTCTGTCGTTGGAACATCCGACGGAACAATATCACCTTTGTTCCGATTGTGTCGAGGACCCATCTTTCATCAAGGAGACGACCGCGAAACGCGGAAAGTATCTTATGCCTCTCCCCAGAGCGGCGCCCAACCTCGATACTAATCGCCATTGGGATCTTCGGTTGATACGTAGGTCTCAACCGGACCAGGCTCGGTCACTTCTCCTCTGCAAACCGCTAGCCCCATGACCGTTCTCTCGTGCAGATCTGGGTTGGATGCTATTCAATGACTTCTTGGCTCGACGGAAATAAGAACCAGTAGACGGCCGCAGACAGGCATCTCGTGCTTGTCTCTTCCACTCGACCTTCCACACTCCGCCGTGTCTCGCGCCCTCGCTCCTGCGTGTGCATCGACGACTCGGTGCACTCGATTCATGTAGCGCGACATCCTTCACAATACTAATTGTGACGACATGGCTGGAGGTGGAACAACAGCCGCGGCCTCGAACCGTCGCAAGAATCTCGCAGGCCCATCTAGTTGGGTATGTCTTCTGTCCTTCCATTCTCATGAGAGCTTCCATACTGTTGGTCGTGTCTGACATCACGTCTCTCTCAGGCCGGCCTGCTTGCAAACGCCAGAGTTTTCGCGCTCGCTATCTTCGCCTCCCTAGGTGGTTTGTGAGTGTCCAATTTTCGATATGTCGCGGTAGCCCTCATACTGACTGGGCCTCCCTCGGAGGCTGTACGGTGAGTGAAAGGATCTTACGACACGCGCTCCAATCTGACACAGTTGATTGAGCCTCCAGGGCACAACCAGGTGCGTGCGGTGAGCAGTCTCACGGCAGGAACGAGGCCCGCTGATTCTTCGGCCTGATTGTCTTGAAACGAGCTTAGTCTGTCACCCCCGGTCCCCTGGCAAAAGAAGTACGGACGTGGAGTTTTCTCTAGTAATGCCGGAGTGTTGCAGAGTCTACTCAAGAAGGTAAAGGTGCCGGCCTGGGGAGCCGTGAAGGCCTCGAGTGGCCATGAAACACGAGTCACGTCGCTTTTGGCGCAGTAAGTTCGTTCGATCGTTGTAAGGTTCGCTCCCGCCTTCACCTTATCACGCTGTCACTACATGAACATTTCACAGGGTTCACGTCACGTACTCGCATATATAGTATCCTCCTGTCCTGTGCTACGTTCTCCAGTCCTTACGAACGTATCACAGGTAAAGTACATCCTAGTACTCCCTCAACTGTTTTAGAGTCCTTACGATCGTATTGCAGATCTCTGCCCTGTCTCTCGACGTCCGAGTGTCCGGCTCACAGTGTTAGTCAGGAGCTACCGATGAACCTCCTTTCACTTCTCGCTCTTCTAGGCTTTGCGGCGGCCGTGGTAGCCGTGAGAGACTCTCCGTCCGCATGCTCTGCCTTCAAGCCCACGAATATCACCAACGTCGCGCTCACCAACCTGCCCACCTACTTTTCCGCAAACGCGTCCGTGAACATCTCCAACGAGTACTCGAGTATCGACGTGTCGAACCTCCCGGCCTTCTGTCGCGTCGAGCTCACGATCACGACGAACACGACCGCGGGCTCGTTCGCCCTCACCGAGGTCTGGCTCCCAGACGACTGGAATGGCCGGGTGCTCACTCTAGGGAACGGCGGATTGGCTGGTGGGGGTACGTCTCATGAGCAGTGGCTTTTGAAAGAAGCGTCGGCTTATTAGGCGTTCCTACTCCGTTCCGCTCTATTCTACTTCTCGACAGTCACTGTCGCCGAGCTCGGCTACGTCGCCGTCCCTCAAGGATGTGAGTAGAGGTTACGGCATTCGGCATCCGCGGAGTCAGGTGCTCATGTAGCGTCGCATGTAGTCGCAGGCATCTCGACGAACACCGGGCATGACGGCGACGTAGACGACGGCTCCTGGGCCGGCCCACACAACGACGTACGTGGATCCTCTAACGAACTGTCGTCCACCGAGGCCCAGATCGAGCGCTCATCAGCTTGTGGCATGTCATGCGCATTTGGTAGAATGCGATCGTGGACTGGGGATGGCGTGCCATGCACCTGAGCGTAGTCGCGGGAAAAGAGGTGGTACAGCAATACTACTCCACACCCGCCAATAAATCATACTACCTCGGGTGTTCCAATGGTGCGTGGGTAATTCGGCGCCGCTCGGTTGTTTGCGTCCGCATCCTCGCTGATGTATCCATCTCACTGTCTATGTGTGGTAGGCGGAAGGCAAGGGTACGTTCTCAACGGCGATGACGGGGGTCACGAAGGCTGATAACAGCCTCCCCTAGCTTGAAGGAGGTTCAGGAATTTCCGGAAGACTTTGACGGTGTGGTACGTACAGTGTCTTCCCTCCCGCGTCGATTTAGAGTGGTCCGGATTCGACCCAGCGTTCTATCTACAGATCGTCGGCTCTCCTGCCAATTGGCAGACACACCTTCGAGGATGGTCTATTCACATGAACCTCAATACCCAACCTTCGACATCGCCCCATTTCATGACGGAGGATATATGGGACAATGTCCTTGCCCCCGAAGTTTTGCGGCAATGCGATTCCTTGGATGGTGTACGTCTTCTATGCATTCCGCAGACTTCCCTTCGACCGACCCAAACGTTTTTCTATCAGCTTGTCGATGGAATCATCAGCGATCCGAGAGACTGCGCGTGAGTACCCTATATGGCTCCATCCTTCGAGCTCGTGACTGGATTGTCTTAGAATAATACATGCAGTTTCCGCCCTGAAACGCTAACCTGCAGCCCAGGCCAAAATAAGTCGACTTGTCTGACGCCTGATCAAATATCTGCCTTGCATCGCATCTACGCGCCATACTACGAAGCTAACCAGACGTTCGTATTCGGCGGCTACTTTCCCGGAGGAGAGACCAAGTTCTATCACGGACTGGTCGGTAAGAAGCAGTCCAAGCCTACCAAGGCATACTTCCAGTTCATGGTCACGAAGTGGGACCCATCCCATATCTGAGTGTGTTTGTGACGTCTTGATGACTCGCCTACAGCAATACGGATTGGACTATCCATGACTACAACGCTACCTTGCTACAACTTACCGATGAGCTCGATGTTGGCCAGTCCAACGTGAGTTATTCGTCCCCTCTTTGAGCGACTTGTTCTCGATACTGAAGGCTGCGGATGTATGTTCGTAGGCCATCAACCCGAACATCATAGGATTCGTGGGCTCGCAGCACAACGGGAAGCTCATCCAGTATGTGGGATGGGCCGATCAACTGATCAGTCCCAACAACTCGATCTATTACTATGAGACAGTCCACGAGTGGACGCGCGCGAACACCAACCTAGACATCGACGACTTCTATCGACTCTTCACCGTGCCTGGAATGAACCACTGGTGAGCTACAGCATGCAACTCCGACATGACGAGTTCTAACCTATCTATTCCTTAGCCATGTAGGTCTCGGTGCATTCGCGGAATTTGAGGGCGAGCGTTAGCTGACGCAATGCATAGGGTGGATTTGCCGCAAACGCCTTCGGCGGCGTACAGCAGGCGTCGAACAACAACCCACCGTTGTCTCTCGGTCCACAGCATAATATTTTGGCTGCTATCGTGAAATGGGTTGAGGATGGTATCGCACCCGACAACTTCACCGCCGTGAACTACAACAGCAACGACGTCGCCAACGGCGTTGGCTTCACCCGGCCACTCTGCAGAGTGAGTAAAGGATCCTCAGGTACACCCGGAGCACATAGCTGATAGAACATGCAGTACCCATCCAATCTCAGATACAAGAGTGGAGATCCTAATAGCGCCTCTAGCTTCGAATGCGTGTTTGATTCCTAACGGCCTTTCGTTTGGCTTGACGATGCTCACTACGCCTGGTAGCAAAAGAAACACATTACGCGTATTACGTGATTACTACCTGCGAACCTTTGAATGAACATGTATTGATCGTGTACCTATAATATATATACACAATTGTACTAGTCTGTTCGTTGGGATGGCATCATCGAGAAGGATACAGTATAGTATGTGCGGCATGGGAGCGGAGACATATGCATTCAAGTGGGCAAAGCATCCTGCGGAAGTGATTGTCAACATAGTATGTACTAGTGCAGCATCAACATTCTCATGATGGAGGGCCTCCTGGGCGACCCATGCATCCCCATCTGCTGGACGCGCATCTGGCGCAACTCGTATGGCCGCCTGTTCAACGTTAACAAGGCCCACAAAGAGCGCGACCCGAGTACGGATACATTTCGGAAGCGGGTCAGTCGACTGGCGATGAGCTATGTGGGTCGTCCATTCGCTCGCAATCTTAGGATTCCGTTCTAACGATCTTCGCTCATCAAGGCCGGAACCGACAGCAGAGCTACCAGCAGCTACTTCTGAACATCCGGTAAGCATTCTTCTCTGGAATTTCCTCGCAACGATTACGAGACGGAGATCTGACGATCGCGCGCATCAGGGCGATCCTGAAGCAGAAAGACAGTCAGAAGCCTCAACTCTCGAAATTTCATCCTATGGTGGGTGCCTTGCTTGCGATTGTGGCGTTGCCTATCAGTGTTGCTGACGCACTAGTCCGTAGGATGTGAACTGGTTATTCAATTGCCGATGCTTCCCTCGCTCAAAAGCGACGATCATTGGACGCTTGTAGAAAGTCTTGTACGCTACGTGGAGCATCCAGTTTGTGTTCAGAAGTAGGGTACTCGTAGTATCATCGTAAGCCCAAGTTGTCATTGGTGACAAGAGCTCTTTCGAAAGGACGTCTGTGTGGACTGACGATCCTGGGATGTCCGCTGGCAATATAGTGCGACGTCAGCGGTGGTCGGTCGACAGCTGCTAGCTGTTCCGAATGCGGCGAAGCGTTCGATCGACATTTCTCCACCAGTTTCGCAGATGTGCCCTGCAATGCTGTGTTCAGTAGGATGCCCCGGCTGCCTATCGCTCTCAGCGTCGACCAGAGGGTACCACCGCGCAGGTTGGCGAAAATTCCGTATCATAGAGAGGGTTCGCGGCGTTCTGATGAATCCATACTTATCCAGGATCTGAAGAAACTCCATAAGCTGTCGCCATGAGGTGACCTAGATATTGATAGCGTGAGAGCGCCTTCGGAGGCATTTGCCAGTACGAGGATATGTGTAGTTGACATGCTTGTTTGTGGGGTGAGGGCGTGTTGGTGTGTCTTATGTAGATGCCTCCACTCAGATGCGATCGACCGAGGAATTACATGGATTCGAGTCGTAGATCTCACGGCAAATATTGTTTGAGCGGAAAGGAGGCGACAAGAACTAGTACTAGGCCCCTTCCGTGAAGTGTGGCCAAGCGTAGAACCTCTGAGCGCCCAGCGCTCGAAGGAGGGCTGACGAGCGGGCCGGTAAGGGCCGGAGCGCAGGCCGCAAAAGGCATGCAGCGGAGGACCGTGGCGCTTCCGAGTTTCTCTTACGTTGTTGAATCCCATGGCCCATTCAGCAACTGGTTCGTCGTATGATAGGCCGACATTGACTATTGATACTCAGCCACCTTTCTAGGGCCTATATCAATTCCTACTCAATCGTGGTCGTGATCTCTTCAATGGCTCTGTCATTGGAACTTCGGACAGAATATCAACGTTATCCCAACTGTGTCTTACATCAAGCAGACGACCGAGAAACGCGGGAAATCTTTCATGCCTCGCCTCAGAGCGGGGCCCCAACCTCGGCACTAATCGCCATTGGGATCTTCGGCTGATACGTAGGTCTCAACCGGACCAGGCTCGGTCACTTCTCCTGCGCAAACCGCTGGCCTCATGACCGTTCTCTCGTGCAGATGCCGTACTCGTCCTGGCCCGGACGCCATCCAATGATTCCTTGGCTTGACAGACATAAATACCAGTAGGCGGCCGCAGACAGAAAGTTCGTGCTTGTCTCTGCGACCCGACCTTCCACACTTCACCGTGTCTCGCGCCCTCGCTCCTGCGTGCGCGTCAACGACTCGGTGCACTCGACTCGGATACCGCAACCCTCTTCACGACACTGACTTTGACGACATGGCTGGAGGTGGAGCAATTGCCGCGGCCTCGAACCGTCGCAAGAACCTGGCAGGCCCATCTGGTTGGGTATGTCTTTTATCCTTTGCTTGCCTGATTTGCATTAGAGCCTCCGTACTACGGGTCGTGTCTGATACCATGTCCTTCTCAGGCCGGCCTGCTTGCGAACGCCAGAGTCTTCGCGATCGCTATCTTCGCCTCGCTAGGTGGTTTGTGAGTGTCCAACTCTCGACATGTCGCGATAGTCCCGTACTGACAGAGCCTCCCTCTAAGGTTGTATGGTGAGCGGAAGGATCTTACGATACGCGCTCCAATTTGACATTGCTGACTGAGCATGTAGGGTACAACCAGGTGCGTGCAATGGGCAGTCCCACGGCAGGGGCGCAGCCCGCTAATTCTTCGGCGTTACGATATTGTACAGGGTGTATTCTCCGGCGTGCTCGGAATGTACTCTTTCGACCAGCGGATGGCGTCAGTGGTGGACAATACGGGGAAGAAGGGCTGGTTTGTCGCTATCCTCGAGCTTGGCGCGTGGTTCGGCGTGCTCTGCACTGGGTACTTGGCCGACAGATTCTCCCGAAAGTACACCATCGTTGGGGGTGCGTATGCCATTTTTCGTAGTCTCCCCTTCGCCATGGGGGCTGGAGCGCCGCGGGGATCGGATTGCTTACTTAATTTTCGGTTCGGGCTTTGATGCTGATCTTGCGCGAACTGTTCAGCCGTTATCGTTTTTTGCATTGGCGTCATTGTACAGACCGCCGCATTCCACCCGTCGTCTATTTACGGAGGTGAGTCCAGACATTCTGGTGGACTCAGTCCGGAAACCGTGCCTGACATGCCATTCCTTGCAGGCCGGTTCGTCACCGGTTTGGGCGTCGGCTCGCTGAGTATGGCCGTCCCACTCTACAAGTATGTTTTGAAAGCTGTCATGAAACTGATGCGAAGGCGGGGATTGACATGGCTTCTTAGCGCGGAGCTCGCACCTCCGGAGGTGCGCGGCAGTCTCGTCGCGCTCCAGCAGCTCGCGATCACGTTCGGTATCATGGTCTCTTTCTGGATCGACTACGGCACGAATTACATCGGCGGTACCACTACTGGCCAGAGCGAGTCGGCATGGCGAATCCCGCTTGCCCTTCAGCTTGTGCCCGCTGTCATCCTCGGCGTCGGCACCTTGTTTATGCCTTTCTCGCCTAGGTAAGCTGTCCCATGAGGTCATACAACGATACATACTCAATGTTATAAATTTACTATGCTCTAGATGGCTTGTCAACAACGGCCGTGATGACGAGGCGCTCCAGGTGCTCAGCCGTGCGCGCCGCGCGGCTCCCAACTCGGACCTCGTTCAGATCGAGTTTTTGGAGATCAAGGCGCAGTACCTCTTTGAGAAGGAGACGGCAGCTCTCAAGTACCCGGATCTCCAGGACGGATCGTGGAAGTCGGACTTCAAGCTCGGCCTGTACGACTACATCAGTCTTCTCCGCTACAGGCGTACGTCATCTGCACAGCACTGTGCATATTCTCGGGAACAAGGCACTCACCTTCTGTTTTTGCGATGCAGCGCTCTTGTACCGTGTGGCCGTCGGCACGTTGACGATGTTCTTCCAGCAATGGACGGGTGTCAACGCGATCCTGTACTACGCGCCGACCATCTTCCATGACCTTGGTCTGACAGGCAGCACAAATTCGCTTCTCGCTACCGGTGTCGTTGGTATCGCGTACGTCTCTCCCGCCCTCGAACCTATGCACGTTGAGCTCACGGAGTGTCTGCAGTATGTTCCTCGCGACGATTCCCGCCGTTATCTGGGTCGACCAAGCCGGTCGCAAGCCGGTCCTCATCTCGGGAGCGTTCCTCATGGCGGCATGCCATTTCATCGTCGCTATCCTCTCCGGGCTGTACGAAGACTCCTGGCCCGCGCACCGTGCGGCCGGTTGGGCTGCATGTGCACTGGTGTGGATCTTCGCCATGGGCTTTGGGTATTCGTGGGGGCCTTGCGCTTGGATTGTCGTCGCCGAGATCTGGCCGCTGTCTGTGCGCGGCAAGGGCATGTCGATCGCCGCGTCGTCCAACTGGATGAACAACTTCATCGGTAAGCACACGAGCGCGCCTCGTCATACGCCGTCATAACGTGGGAGAGACGACTAATGCGGATTGCGTGCAGTGGGCCAGGTCACGCCGACTATGATAAGCAACATACGCTTCGGGACGTTCATCTTCTTCGGGGTGAGTGATTCCTCCCATGGCTGCTTACGAGCTTTACGTTGGGCCTGGCCTTGAATGCGGATGGATATTGAAGTGACTAACGGTGGCGGCGTTTCCCCGTAGGCGTTCTCGTTCCTGGGCGGCCTGTTCATCATGTTCTTCGTGCCCGAGACAAAGGGCCTGACACTCGAGGAGATGGACGAGATCTTCGGCTCCGTAGGCCTTGTGGCGGGCGAGCAGCAGCGCCTGGAGGAGATCGAGAGGCGCATCGGGCTCGACGCGTACAACGATCCCGACCCGAACCGCGCTGTATCGGAGAAGAGGGATTCGGACCTCATCGAGAAGGCGTGAGCCTCTCGAGAGGAAAACCATCGCTAGACTCGCACCTTTGTGGGATGCGGTGGAGTTACTCGATGATGATGATTTCGCTAGTCATGACATCGGCGCTGCAATCGTGTCGCAGCTTGTTGGGCGACGCTTCTGCCTCGACATGATCTGATGGTACTCCTAGTTGTATTTTGTGTATTTGTAGCTAGTTCTGTTTACGCATCTCATGTCCGTTATGCAGTGTTTGAAGTGTGCAATGGATGAAGCATAGGATTGCTATTTTCCTGGCCACTAGGTCTGTCAGGCAGTATGTACCAGTCCGTGTGGGGGGTTCCAGCTCGCGTGGTTTCGCGTTTCAGGTGCACAAATGCAGTAGGTGACTCTCAGGGGACCGCTGGCACCCCTGCTTGCGAGGAATAGCGGGCTGAAGGGAGGGCGGAGCCCGACCGCAGCCCGCGACAAACCCCATGGGGTAAATTGGTGTATCAATCCTCTGATAGTGCGAGGAATGCATCAAGGTCCCAATAGACAGCACAGTGCTCTGAAGGGTACTGCAGGTGTTGCTGTGTTTCCTATGCAGTAGTACTTGGGAGAATCTCTACTGCTTTAAGTTGGTTCATATACATGGCGCGTTGAGGGCGGGCGCAAGCCCGGCCAGTGATGTGCCGGTCGACACCGGGTTGTCGTCGACTTTTGTCGACTTGTCAACTGATGACGAAGGCTACAGGTGCACAAAAGTGCACGTCAACTTTCGCACAGGGCGGTCTACCTGTGCAGGCGCCCAGGCACTGTATATGATTGGGCGACGCGCTATCGCGAACGCGTTCAATCGACATATTGGGATTACTCTGTCGATTTTGCTGCAACTCTTTGACTCCCGCCATCGATGGGCTCTAGCTTACAGCGCCTTGCATAAGTCCGTGAACGCGCGGGATTTTTTCTCTCCGGCGTCTACCCTACCCGACCTGCCTAAACAGGCCACATCATGGTCACAGGCCCAGACACGACGGGCAGCGCTCGGGATCCCTTCGCGTGAAACGGAGGTTTGTTTTCGGGACAGTCGTAACTTGTCCCTTTGCCGACGCGTGCCAAAGGACGCTGAAGGGTCGGCAATGGGAAAGTTGTACTTGCTCAGAGGTTCTACAGCCCTTTGACAAAGAACGATTTGAGGCGG